CCGAAGGCGAAAAATTTTAGGGTGCCACGCCCCTTTTTTGGGCCCTTTAACAATATTTAATATCAATATTTGGTTGTACAGGGTCATTTTTTATATTTTCCCACCCCCATAACTTTTTTGCGCCACAGTGTATAAAAAGTTTTGTTTTTACAGGGTGTTGCAGAAAGTTTAAAAAAAAAAAATATATACGCATTATATGTTTTTTATGGGACAACCTGTAGATTAAGTATTGAATATTCGGATTCTACGTAAAACTTTGAGCAGATTTTATGTGATATACACTATACCTAAGTTCAATTGTTATGGAAATATTAACAGAAATTTGACTTTTTTGCAACTTTGACAGGCTGTAAAACCTAAACAGTTAATTTTACAGCAAAACCGATTTCACATTCACGTGTTAGATTATCATAAACTTTGAATTTAATCCATGATTGAAAATTTCAATTCAATTTAATCTCCGGTTAAAGTCAACATTGCTTATGAAACGCTAAGAATGAGAATGTGAAATCAGTTTTGCTGTAAAATTAATCGTGTAGGTCTTACAGCTTGTCAAAGTTGCAAAAAAGTCAAATTTCAACTGGCAATATTTCCAAAACAGTTGAACTTAGGTATAGTGAAACTCTGCTCAGAATTTTACGTAAAATCAGAATATTCAATAACATACAGGGTGTCCCATTTGAAAAAAAAAATTGTTTTCAAAACTTTCTGCGATACCCTGTATGAACAAAACTATATATTCTGAGAACTATTTTTCAAGCTATACACCTTTCCGATTTACATTTTTTCTATACCCAGTGGCACAAAAAAGTTAAGGGAGGTGGGAAATAGTTATTTATGTACCAAGGCTTGTAAGTGTTACTTTTTTGGCCGAGGATGCAGTTTGCAAGCCGAGGCCCATAGGGCCGAGGTTTGCAAGCATTTGAGGCCAAAAAAGTACACGCTACAAGTCGAGGTGCATATGATATTTTTTGTGCTACCGTACATTCAAGATAATAAATATCATGAATTTGATGGTGCACCTATTTGCTTTGTTCGCGAAGAAGATCCCAAACTGATCCTGAATGAATAAGGAAAGAATCACATCATGAAAAGCCATTGATATGAAACAATATTAATGGCTTTTTATGGTGTGATTCTTACTTTAGCGTTCAGGGTTAGTTTGGGATCGTCTTCGCAAATAAAGCTATTATTTTAACTGGTGTCCAGTTTGTTGTATTATTGTTTAAATTGACCTACTAATTCCATGCACCCTATGCTAGCAACCATTACAATCAAAATTGTGAACAAATTTGGCGTTGTCAACATATTCGTTAAATTGTCTTTTTTTTTAATTGCCAGGCAACGAAATTCTTATTAAAATGTCAAGTTTATTTTGACAAAAAAAAAAGTTCAAGTCATAGTCAAGTGTAATTATTATTAGTGAAAAAATGTGCGAGAAAGTAGAAACCGGCGTAGAAGAAGCAGCAGCGAATGCTTGTGCTTTATTGCTGCCCGAAAAATCGAAAGAGAGGTACACATTTATATATTCCAAGTTTAAAGAGTGGCAAGCGGTGAAGCATTTGAATATTGTTGATGAAAATGCACTTTTGGCATATTTCTTTGAGCGTTCCCAACATTTGAAGAGTCCAGCAAGTTTGTGGAGTGAATACTCTATGCTCAAGACAACATTATCCATTAATGACAGTATAGATATTTCTAAATTTCCAAAATTGAGAGCTTTTTTGAAAAGGAGAAACGATGGTTATAATCCCAAAAAATCAAATGTGTTTTCAAGGCAGGAAATAAAGACATTTTTGAAGGAGGCACCAGACAGTCAATATTTGTTGATGAAGGTATGAATATGGCTTTAGAACTATTCCATAAAACAGTGGTCTTTATTTTGTAGGTAGTTGCACTCATTGGCGTTGCTGGAGCATGCCGTAAAGACGAATTGCTCAAGATGGCATTAAGTGACATTGAAGATAAGAGGGATGTGATAATAATAAAAATTCCAGATAGCAAGAATAAAACCAGACGTTCGTTTACAATTATCAATGATACTGAAAATAATATTGATTGCCTTGGTATATTCAGAAAATATGTTAACTTAAGGCCCAAGAACACTGATCATAGACGACTCTTTTTGAGGTATGAGGTAGGGAAATGTGCCAATCAAGTTGCTGGTAAAAATACCCTTGGAAAAGTACCTTATAATATTGCCAAGTACTTGAATTTGGACAATCCTGAGTCTTACACGGGACACTCATTTCGAAGAACTTCGGCAACACTTTTGGCAGATACGGGTGCGGATGTTCTCGCTTTAAAAAGGCACGGAGGGTGGCGATCTTCCACAGTCGCGGAAAGTTATGTGGCCGACTCAAGTGCAAATAAAGTAGATACGGCCAGAAGAATTCTAGGTAGCAGCGAGAATATAAGATTTGAATCCGCAACTCCCAGCACAAGTTCCTCTATGATAGTCGAGGATTCCTTTAGTAGTAAGGATTCTAATATTTTAAGTTCTTCGACTTCAATACAGGAAAGTATGCCTGTTAAATGTAACTAATTGTACAAATGTTTCTTTTACTTTCAAAATTAAAAAGTAAATAACCATGAAGTATCGCATTTTTATATTACTAGGTAGGTACCTATCTGTTTATGCTAATTTCAACTTTTGGACGTCTAATGGCCATTTGCACTGACCATTTTAAGGAACCCTTAGCGATAAGTAGGTATCTTTTAAAATGACAGTTTTTGATGGAAAAATGTCACTTTAAGGAATACTTATCGCTTAGGCTACCTTAAAATAGTGGGTCCAAATGGCCATAGGTAATTTCTATTTGTTTCAATAAAATAGTATCCTTAATTTGTTTTGGGTTTTTTATTTAAGAAGTCGAGTGTTTTTGTCACATTATTTTGACAGAGATATGAAAGCAATTTTCACCTTTCATATCAACACTTTTTTGACCGGGTCAAAAAAGTAACTTTTTTGACCCGGACTGTAAGTGACACTTACAGTTCATGGACGTAGGTCAAAAAAGTCAACTTACAGAATGGGTAGCACAAAAATATAAAAAATGACCCTGTGCCTAAGTATAAAATACCTGCTGCGAAAGATCCGCCATCAAATTACAACCGAAATAAGGCAGTCAGAATCAGTCAATCAGTTGAAATAATCTTAAAAGCCTGAGAGAAAATGTAACTATCCAAAAGAATATATTTTTTATGCGTGCGGAGGACTCTAGAGATGTTGTCATGGCATGAAAAATTCTCGGGGGGGGATGAAACTGAATGAGACTCGCTGGTACCTAATTATAGTTTTGTTCCAACACAGCAGGAAACCGTACAATGCACCATCATGAATCTGCGCAAAGCCTAAAATTTGTACGTAGAATCTGAAATTCGTACACAGAGTGGCTTGCAAACTGTTCATGGGACGGGTTTTGACGTGTTAAAACAGACCTTATAGGCAATTCTTGGCGAGTATAAGCAAGCATAATATTTTGCTGGATAATGTGATGTGTCAATTGTGTCATACTCCCCTTAACTCCCCCGACATCAAATTCTAGGATAATCAAGGATCAAGAACACTCAATTTCTTTTGTGAGAACAGACCGAAAATCACCTTTTTTACATTTAAAATCGACGAAAAAATTAACTCACTAACGCAGCTCCCGAGCATTCCATCGAGGTCTGCGGGTGACGTCACCACCATAAGCTGCTGATAGTGACGTCACTCGCAGGCCCAAAATTTGATGAGGAGGGACTTACGGGAGTATGGCACAATTCAATTGACACATCGCACATAACCCAGCATAATCAGATTATTGGATTATGCTTTTGTATATATTGTCCCGCTTTTGGAATATCAAGATCTGGTCACTTTAACCCTGTATAATATAGTATCACCTATTTTGAATGCGCGCTCCCACTTTATCATGCTATATTTCGAAAACGGTTTGATCGTACAAAAAAATGTTAATGAACAATTTTGTAGAAAAGACTTTTATGTGAGTTTTGTTTTGGAATCTTCGACGTCAAATAATGAACTAGAAGCGACATTTTGGCAAAAAAAAACGATTTTCGTGACCTTTGACCTTCGATATCTCGAGACGCACAAAGATAGGCATATTCGATTTTTTTGTGCTTCATTAGAACATCAAAACGAAGGTCTCTGCAACAACTCAGCTTGTTCGGCCTCATTCCGCAGATGGCCCTTTTTTTGGTCTAATTTGCCTGGGGTCAATTACAATTAGAATGCGAAAACTCTCGCTGCAGGTGACGTGAGCTGCAGTCCTTTATTTTTGCGTTTACTAAGGTCTGTTTCCACAGAAATCACAAGCCAGTCAGAGCGTTTTTGATTGGTCTAAATCGCCAACAACCAGTTTCGTGACTATTTTCAACCAATGAAATTCGCTCTCAGTAGTTTGTGATCTCTGTTGAAACAGACCTTATATAAATGCATCATTCATCATTAAATGCATGGAATTGATGGAAAACTTGCAGTGTTTTCATGGATTATGAATATGAATATCTAAAGAATGCAACCAATGCAACCATGTTTCGCTTTATATTTTGATATTTGGAAATGCAAAAATTATCATTATAATCACCTTGTTTTTTTTTGACACCGAAAAAAAAATGAAGGATTCGATTCCTATCGGACGTTCATATTCGGCAACGATAATACACACTACTACTACAGGATAGCCTATCCGAAGGCCTGTGTGGAACAAATCTGAAAGCCCCCCACCACGCCAAATCACCAGTTGTGACGTAGGCAGCATGTCGTTTCTCGCCTTGACGTAGGCTGTTTGCACCACAGGTTATGATTCCGCGGGCTTTTGCTTTATGCACACTGTACACTTGGTTTTACTATACTACATTTTTTTAGATCTCGTTCTCATCCTTCCTCTTCGCCTATTATGTTAATCAAAATTAAATAATAATTTTTTTCATAAATTTAAATTCTAAACTACGGCCGCTAGTGCAAACAGCTGACGACTTATTTAATGACGTCGAAAATGGTGAAACACCAATATGGCGGCGATTACCAAAAACGAGGCCGATAAGTAATCCTTACTAGTGTCTATTATCCTTGCGGAATCGGGCCCGGTTAGAAAATAAAATGACAGGCCAAAACCAATCAAATCGTGAAAACGCTGTTTGGGTGTTTGAATGACTCAGCCGACGTCCAGTCATTTCGTCAACTTTCAAAATAAATGGAGAAAACCCCAATCAAATAAGTTAATAATGGCTTAATCCTGGGTTTATACAGACAAATAACAAGGTGAGAATAAGGAAAAAATCACATAAAAGTATGAACACATTTGCCATAACCGTGCTAAGCCATAAGGTTTTTATATACTGTAAACAATTTGGTAAATAACAATATTCCAAACCCATATTACTTTAATACAATAATATTACAGCCTTTCATTTTTCATACACTTAGCTGAAGCGCTAGCCAGAAAGGATGGATGATGGGGTGTTCTAAGATCCTACTTTTCTAGGGCGGTGAAGTTATAGATGGAAGACAACAGTGATCACAAAAATGGGGCTTTATCACGTCCAAACGCTGTTAGAGTTCTAGTTGTTGATGAACCTAGAGCATACCTTGAGCAAAAGCAACGATGCAGCGTAGGACCACCTCAAGAAACTGGGGTTGTCCTAAGAAAACACCATCCAGGTGAGTTCACCAATATTCCTACTTACCTAACAAAAACATATTTTCTCTCAAACATTTCCTGTTTAGAAAGTAGACAAAATCAATTTTGTAGGTACCTGTTGACTTATGAGGTCTGCTATGAGGACAAAATGTGAAGAGTTTATTCTTGTCAAAATCCCAGAAAAATGTCAAGAAACGAATGGATTCCAAAGGACCCCCCACAAACCTTATGGAAAGGGCCTTCCTGTCGAATTGTTTAAAAATAGGGGATTAGGTAGGGTTTATGCGATTTAGATCAAAAGTGTTCACAGGCACAAACTCCGGTTATGGCTAGATTCCGAGATATTTGAGGTCAAAGTGACCAATATACGATCATATACATTTCTAATATTAGGACATATTTCGACTCCGATTTGACGTAATAATTGGTTTTGCATCTTCATGTTTGGCATGTGGAAATATACAGCACAGTGGAAATACATTTAAAAATTGGCCCCAAATATCTCGGAATCTAGCCAGAGCCAAACTTTTGCCTATGAACACTTCTAATCTGAATCACATTCTCTACTTGATCCCCTATTTTGAATCAATTCAGCAGAAAGGCCCTTCCTATAAGGTTTGTGCTGGGTCCTTTGTGTTTATAAAATCCTTCAGAAAAGATTGTCAATCTCTCGGTCACTCTACAGAAATCGTTTTTATTTTTTTCTGACCTATCAGATTTAAAATTTGACGTTTCGTCTTTGGGTCACCACTCGGGCCACCATCATCAACTTCATTTTTTTTAATAAGGCGCTTGATTTTCTATTTCAGATTTTAAGAGCCTCTGATGTCCCACAGCCAATGACTTATCACACTGATTCGAAAAATTTATATTATTGGCACTTTCTATAAGAACTTAATGTGTTAGAGAGAGACAGAGGAGGGAATTTTGGTAGGAAATTACTAAAAAGTGAAAACATAGTTTTTCGAATAAATGCGATACATCATAGGTATTGGGACATCAGAAGCTTTTGAAATCTGAAATAGAAAATCAATGGCCATATTTAAAAAAATTAAGTTGATGATGGTGGCCCAAAGGCAAAACATCAGTTTTTAAATTTGATGGCAGCATCATATAGAGGAGAAAAAATGGCAAGCATGAAGTGACATTTATTTCACGATATCATTTCAAATAGAGTCAGGAAAAAATAAAAACGATTTCAGCAAAATTTGTTTTTTGTTTCGGAATTTCCGAAATATCAAAACATGACGCCACTGAGCTCAGTAACGCGCCACTTTTTCCAAATTTAACCAACCCTGTATATCTTATGGTTACGGAGATCCCTGTAGAGTGCTTCCTTATCCGTGACACCCTGTATATTCTCGTCTGTCGTCTATAATAGTGATTGTTGCTCCTTCAAGGATTATCAAAATCTGCTCTTCAAGAATGGCAAATTATTTTCCAATAGTAAATTCCCAGTAGTAATATAACTAGTGCATAAAAATTTTCCGGAAATTTTTGAAAATTTTGTCTGAAGCCAATTTTTTAACAAAATCACTTGGCGCTATGCAAGAATGGTTTTGTTCAAAAAAATTGGCTAAGAAGAAATTCTTTAAAATTTTATGAGAAATTTCCCTTAAGAAATATACTCCTGGACAAAATTATCCCACCACCACTGCACATATTTACCATAAGCAGTGGTGCGATAATTTTGTCCAGGAGTATATTTTATGCACATGCTATATTTTGATACGAAATTTCCTGGATTTGAAGTTTGATGGTGATTGTTAGAAGACTTAGGGCCAGTTGTACCAAATAGGGATTCAGTTGAACTCTACTGGTACTATAGTTGTTCTTTCCCATTTAAAACGCATCAGAAATTTATCAAAGTGTATATTTTTTGACAGGAAAAATTAAAATTCTGAAAATTTTTGGAAGTTTCTCCTGGATATTTCCAAAAATTTCCTTATTAATTTTGAAAATTTTTATGCAAAATTTCCAGTGTAATTTGCTCAAATTTCCAAATTCCATTATGTGAAAAAGGTAATGGCCAATTATTTATAATGTTTATACTTAAAAGGGTCTTGCCGATTTTATGATGAAACCTCTGGCACATATTTTCAATCTTTCCATCACAAGTACACAATTTCCTGAAGCATTTAAAACAGCTCTGGTTACACCCATTCATAAAAACGGTAATATGAATGAAATCAGCAATTACAGACCAATAAGCGTAATCAACGTAATAGCAAAGATATTTGAACAAATCCTATGTACCAAATTAACAAGCGCTCTAAAGCCAAAAATTTCTAAATTTCAGCATGGTTTTGTGACTGATAAAACTACTGTTTCAAACCTTTGTGTGCTATCTGAACGTGCTTCTGAGGCAATAAAAAATAAAAAACAATTAGACGTCATCTATACCGACTGTGAGAAAGCCTTTGACAAGGTCGATCATGGGCTGCTTCTGGATCGACTAGTTTCTATGGGAATATCATACTCCACCTTTATGTTCCTAGAATCATATCTGCTGAATTGGGCTCTGATGGTAAAGATAGGCAAGACTACCTCAAGCAAGTACGTGGCCACCTCAGGAGTGCCTCAGGGTAGCACCTTAGGCCCACTGTTGTTTGCTTTGTTCATTAACCCCCTCCCTGGCTGCCTTACTGAGTCATCAGGACTGCTTTTTGCGGATGATTTCAAATTTTTCAAGGAAATATCTTCACCTCAGGATTGCTTCTTGCTCCAGGGGGATGTGGATGATGTCAATTGTTGGTTTAGGGAGAACAAAATGTCATTAAATGTGAAAAAGTGCTCAGTCATGACTTTCTCACGAAAAAACAACATTATTGGGTATGACTATACTATTAATGGGGTCAATTTAGAACGAAAGAGTGAAATCAAAGATTTGGAAGTTGTCTTTCGGAGCGATGTGAGATTCAATTCCCATTTTATTGGAATGGTCAATAGGGCTTATAAATCTTTGGGATTCATTATCAGAAATGGAAAGTCCTTTGAGTTGGGAACGATTGTTAGACTTTATCATGCACTAGTGAGACCACATCTAGAATATGCTGCCCAGGTTTGGATGCCCACAGCCCACACGCATGTGTACCATATAGAAAAAGTTCAAAAGAGGTTCTTGAGATACCTTTACGTCAGGAAAAATAACATATATCCTTATATGGTTTCATATAGAAGCATGCTTGAGGGCTTTGGGTTTCAGAGTTTGCAGGATAGAAGAGATAAACAGGCTGTGATATTTGTGTTCTACCTTCTGAATTATATAAAGTATAAAGACTGTGATTTAACTAAATATATACACATTAACGTTCCTAAAATTAATTTAAGAAACTTAAACTACGAGCTTTTTAGTGTAGATCTAGTCAGTACATCACCCATAAATACAATGTTATTAATATGCAATAGAGTACTCGCCCGAGTCAACATAGATATATTTTTCACAAGTATCAGAGAATTACAGATGATATAAGTAAATCCTAGTGCTGTGAATGTCTGTTTGTTTAGTTTAATTTTGGTCTAGTATAGTATAGTTTTTTTTTTTTTTTCCTTGTTAAGTTGTTTTTAACCATTACCTATAATTACCTCATCGGTGTTTGTAATGTGAACCATAAATAAATAAAATAAATAAATAAATAAATAGATTTGTATATGTCATAGCCATGTTGTAAATTCCGCCATTTTATAAAACGGCTCGCCACTTTATAGAACGCAGCCACTATCAAATAATGAGTTATTTTACATTATCTTATAATCTGGCTAGTGCTTTTAGCCATTTTATAAAGTGGCCATTCAAGTACAAGCCATATCTTCAAACAAAAATAATGTTTTAGTGTTTTGCATTTCGGCGAATATCACTATCAGCCACAATATAAAATAAAGTGAGGTTATTTGTTTGCTGACAATAAACAAATATTTTTCACCAGTTGCATTTTTCAAACTAGTTAAGAAGACTTGATTGTGTATGTTTATTAAGTTATCTTTGTATTCCTATTTCCCTAAAGATGGATATAACCGTTATAGAATGACTCCAAGATAAGGGCCAGTATGGGGATCTCGGAAACAGTGAAAGATACGATGTTGCTCAAATTAGGAAAAAGCTGCGCAATTATGTGCTTAGTAAAATACCGCTCTGATATTTTAAAAATTCCGAGTGAGACCGGAGATATCCGGGAAAACCCGAAATTTGCCAGAATGATTGTATTTTTTCCTGACTTTATTTATTAGAAGAGGTATTCCCAAATAAATGGCTTTTCATCATTACCACTTCTCCTCCTCTACAATATGGCATTATCAAATTTGTTATCCGACGTTTCTTCTTTGGGCCACCATATCATCAGATCCCCATACTGGCCCTCCTTATCTTGGACACATTGTATAGCCCACCTGTGAAAAAATCTTTGTTTTATAATCATTTAAAATGAATTCTTTGTAGGCAAATTTGAGGTCAGCAAGGCCGTTCCTACCTGATAGGGATACCAAATTGAAGGACATTTCGTTTAGATTGAGTATTGCTTTTATCTTTTTTTTTTCGCGCATCCCGCCGAAATGAGAAACTACAGGTATACATATATTCCTGTTTAAGAATATGGCTCGAACTTGATCGGCCAGTTTATAAGATTGCTAAAAGCACTAGCCATAATTACAAAATAATGCAAAATCAACAATTATTTTACAATGCGGCCGCGTTTTATAAAGTGGCTAGCTGTTTTATGAAATGGCGAAATTTACAATGTGGCTATGACATTATTTAATATTGGAACAATGCTATCACCATGTTATGGTGGGTTTATAGAGGAAAGAACATAGCAACAAATAATATTTCATATTTCATATTTTTGTTGTTTTTGCAATGTTTTGTTGTGTATGTTTGTGGGAATGTTCTTCTGAGTGGTGTTAACTTCACTGACAGATAGTTGCCAGAGTGCCGAAGATTTATAAACGACCATGAGCTCATCAGTTTAAATAAATTAAATAAATTTAAAATGGTTTAGCAACGATTGGAAAATACTTATCCTGAGTTATACAATCTGAATTTATTTTTAATTTATGGAGGGTTTATACAAACACATAATATAAGACATGACATATTGTCATGACTCTGGGTTGTGTGACAGAAATCTTGGGTCCGTTTATTCCAAAATCAAAGTCCAATTAACACAGCAATAATTTCTTCCACGTTACTATACACTCTGACACCAATTACTTCACTAATTAACTCAAGCAACTTAACTCTTTACAACTCTTAACAATATTCACTATCTTAATCATATATAATAATATATGATTATATATAAATAAACATAACAGCCAGACTTAAACCTAAACTACTAACTGATACCGGCCTTCATATATCCGTAAATCTATTCATGTAAAATCCAGAATACACGTGATAATCCCATGCTCGAGAAAAAGCAGACTTTTTCTGGAATTTTGGCATATTCTGGATACGGTGGCGAAAGCGCATCGTAAATTGTAATATCCTACACGTCTGACGAAAAATATCAATAATTCATGGTCCCATATCAACAATATTATAAATCTTATTTTTCAGATTCACCAAATGCCTCCTCAAATTTGATGAAGTTTCATAACTCCGCTCTTGGTAAATCTGCTCCTTCACTTTCATTAAATATGGTAAGTTTCTTGTTAACTTTAAGACCTAAGGAATTATATTTATAGCTGTTTATGACAAGGATGTGTGCTGCTAAGTACCAGGGGTCGTATTTTCGAATATTCTCGCATACAAAGTTTGATAGGATTGCGAATGCTTTCCATTTAATTTACATTGCGGTCAGTCAAATTTCGTGTAACAAATGTACTCGAATGAATTCAAAAATACGACCACAGATTCCTTGAAAAATTAGTAGTCTCCTAAAATTGATAGATGTTGTTTTTTCTGGTTTGTTCACTGTTTACAATCTTTGTCAAAATGTGCCTTATGAATATCCATCTTTTAATGAATATCTACTGGGATATCTATACCTATGTGATGATTAACTCGTTTTAACAGATTCCAAGTCACATTAGTAATTTGTGCACAATTTGGCAACACCGCATGGGGAAGTCCCTTCCCCAGGTATGGCAGTTTAAAGTTATTCTGTGGTAGTACCAAATTTTGTGCTTAGACTCGGCATATCTCGAGCCTGTCGGCACATCTCGAGCCTGTCGGCACATCTCGAGCCTGTCGGCACGACACCGATCCTTTTGCGTATTTATATGATAATGATAGTTATCTATGTCATTAGGCCAAGGAGTCGGTCTGTTTGTGCTGAGCTCAAGGTTTGAAAGCCGACGCCTAGTGGATGCCTACAATTGAGTGCAGCACAAAAAGACCTTCGGGACCGAATGGCATACAACATTTTATCTTCAACGGATTACACTATTTCCTTTCACAATTTAATCACTGCTTTTTTCATCCATTTTCGGAAAAATAAATAGGTGCCACTATAAATTTACGACTTATATCAAATCTTTTTACTTCAAATGTCAAATCAGTATTAGGTCACTCGGAACACATTTCACTGCTCCCAGCATGGACGTTCCAGTAAGCAAGCAGACACAACAACTTGGTAATCCGTATTTATTTATACTCGTACTTGATTTATGCAATAAGTTAGTCAATAATATTGACCGAAAAATGTGAAATGAACAAATTAGTGCAGATTATAAATAAATTATGCTCTTGGAGCTAATGCCGCCCGAACTCGGTCGTTGTCCCTGCCATCTATCAAGAAGAAAACGCAAAATTAATTACAAGAACATAATGGCGCTGATTGACGCTGCTGCCTGAAAAAAAAAAACGAACAAATTACCTGATACATAATCTTTTTTTTTGTCCTAGGAACATGATAGATCACTTCTGTGTCAAGTGTTCACGACAATTAAGTTCAAATTATAGACCGCTTGAAGATAAAAAATATTACCTACTCACATATGATTTTGGATTCACTGTAGAAGCTTAATTCCGCTTCCATCTGACGCTAAAAACATAGTTTGCTTATCATTTCCCATAACTACCACAGAGTAAAAGTTGATCCACTTCCCCTTATTAGAGGAACCCTCGGAGGAACCTGAAAAAGAGGCGTAGAGTTTACGATTTAAAAAATATTGCTTATTTTCTCACAAATTTTGAAAGGTGAAATTTTCCAAGATCTTGTGATCTCACTATTAATTTAACTTGTAATTATTTATTTCAAATTTTCAGAAAGATGTAAACCGTCGTAATAGTCGACCTGCCATAAACCGTTTAAGCCTTATTGCTAACACTTCTCCTGTACTGCCAAGATCTCATTCTCCAATATGTGGAAGCCCTATCGACAGTCCCAGAACTCATCAAAGCTTCATCAATTTCTCATTTGCTCCTATCAAAAGGTAAGAATCACATATTTAGCATTTTTGAAAGGATCATAAAAGATGCAGTGGAATTTATATTATTCCTACTTATTTCATGTTCTTGGTTCAAATGTCAAGCAACTTCCTTGTTCACCTTGAAATTTGAAGTTGATTTATACCGAGTGACAATGATTGAAATATGTTACCATAGCAAGACTAGCCTACATCTGGATGCCTGTTTTGGAGATTCACTGTTCCTCTGGGTCCAGATAATGAATTCTGGTATCTAGATATTCCACCGAATTTATTTTTTATCTGTGTATCTTGCTCAAACTATTTTCTACTGTATGAATGATTTAATATATAACAACACAAAATGAAAAGTTATTACTTTATCTTGGGGTATTTTAAGGGACCTATCCAAGCATAGTATTATATGTATGTACAGTTGCCGCCATTGGAGTTGGCACAAATTTTTGAACGCACCTTGTATTGCATCAAAATTTGACTTATTTAACAAGCCGCTAATGCCAAAATTGTGTCAGTTTTGGCTTTATACAAAGGGCGTTCAAAAATTTGTGTCAATTCCAATAGCCGCTACTGTACAAATTCTATATACCTCTCTTCCTTTTAATAACTCAAACCAGATGAACACCATTCACAATACTGATAATTTGATTAAATAAAGAATGAAGGCTTTCACGGCCGGTTAAATCTAGTAAAACAGTTTTTTTCGGGCTATAATGCCGTAGTCCATTATTTCTACCTAACGTTTCGTCTACTGCTGCGGTAGACATCTTCAGAGGCGGTGTGGTGGAGGACGAAGTGTTCTCTTCCGTGTTCCTCCGATGACTGGATTCGACGTTGTTGGACCTGCGTTATTTATATCCAAGGTTGTCGGCGTGGCTTGTATTACGCTATTTTCCTTCTCTCGTTCTCGAAAAGGAAGGGTCTTTGTTTTTCGGAGAACTGGCAACCAGCTTTTGTTGAATTTCATGCCCTCTTCTTTTCTGTTAAAGTTGTTGTGGCGTTTCTGTATCTCTATGGCTTCGCTATGGAGTCTGGTGTAAAAATGTTTGGTTCTATCCAATGCTTGAGTCTGGTCGAAACGAATGACATGGTTTGTTTGTGTAAGCACGTGTTCGGCGATTGCTGATCTATCTATTTGTCCCTGCTGACAGTTTCTTTTGTGCTCTTTGACCCTGGTGTTGATCGAGCGTTTGGTTGTTCCTACATAGACAGATCCACAAGAACAGGGAATTCTATAGACGCCAGCCGTTTTAGGAGGTGCGCTAGGATCCTTGGCCGATCTTAGAATTTGCTGAATTGTTCTTGTGGCTTGTAGATAGGCTTAACGTTGTGTATTTGTACCGTTCGGCCTATGCGATTTGTGACATTTTTGATATAGGGAAGAAAGGCTATCCCTGTCACCTGTGCTGGTTCCTTGTTATTTGTGCGCTGTTGCTTCGGTCTTATGACTCTATCTTCTGCTTGGAGTACCCATTTCTTTCAAGTGCTGATTTTAGGTGTTGCATCTCGTCCTGAAGGTATCTGGGTTCATAAATCCGGATTGCCCTGTCAGAGTTTCAATGACTCCTCTATTTTGCCTAGGATGGTGATTGGATTCCTTGTTGAGGTATCTGTCCGTATGCGTCGGCTTCCTATATACTCTGTATCCCAGTTTACCTGAGGGTAATCTTTCTAAGAGGACGTCGAGGCATGCAATTTTGTTGTCCTTCTCAACTTCCATCGTAAACTGTATCCTGGGTTCTATTGAGTTTAGATGATTAAGGAAGTTTTCGAGCTCTGCCTCTCCGTGGTTCCAAACAACAAATGTGTCATCTACATAGCGAAACCAACAAGTAGGTTTCCTTGTGGCCGTTCGCAGTGTCCTTTGTTCGAAGTGTTCCATGTAGAAGTTGGCGATAACCGGGCTGAGTGGACTCCCCATTGCGACTACATCTGTCTGCTCAAAGAATTCATTTTGCCATTGAAAGTACATAGTCGTCAGACAGTGGTGAAATAAGTTGATGATTTCCTCCAGAAAAACATCTTTCAGATACTCTAAGGCCTGATTCACTGGTACCTTAGTAAACAATGAGACGACATCAAAACTAACCTGAATGTCATTTGGTAGTAGAGTGATGTCACTGATCTTTAATTATTTATTTTATTTTGAAATTTAAAACCATTCATTTCAACCGTATTTTTATGAAAGCTGATACTCTGTGAACTTTTAAGTGAATCCAGATTCATATCGCCAATAAGTATGCATGAACTTTTCTGACTTTCCAATAACTTGTCGAATTCAGGCAAAAAAACATTGGTTTTATTTTTTGGTGGTCTATACACATAGCAAGTATTTTGAGTTTTTGTTGGAATAGATAAACTGATACTACGTTGCAGTCATCTTAGTCGTATTTAGTACATAGTTCATTCCATTTTTAACAAAAATGCAGGCACCTCCTCCTTTTGTATCTCTGCAATCATGCACTGCCGTATATGTATGATGCTAAGTTGAAGTAGTTTATTTCATCGGGATAAAGGTACGTTTCAGTAAGTATAATTACGTGTATTGGTTTTTTACTAAGCAGAACTATGTTGTTTATATCATATAGGTGATAATTAATGAAAAGTGGAAATAAAATACTGAAAATACTGCAAAATATCTTTGTAAATACGCCACAAGCCAAGCCACAACAAACAAACCAAACAGAAAAAGTATGGCTGGAATTTTATGTCGTAGCTGTCAAATCGTACGATAATCCTACAAAAAGCTAAAATTATTTTTAATTTCTCCGATAAAGGACAAGAAGTTGAAATTTTCGGGCAAGAATCGGCGGGAGAAGATTTTGACCAATCAGAGCGCTGTGGGATGATCGTATCATCGGATGACGGACGCATGAGAAGCCAGCTTCACGCATATATGAGGGCAATGCGTTAAGTAGATAAAGACTTCAAATATTCAATAAAGTGAAAATAATTTCAATGATGGATTTTACCCTAAATTCATCCAAAGTACCTCAATTAAAATTGACCAAATAAATAAAAAATAAATAAATAAAACTAATAGTTTCAAAATCAAGGGCAATCTTAGCAACTTGAAATTATTGAGTAGACGAAACACCCACCCTTTTTTTCCCAGTTTTTCTTTCTTGCTCGCCGGACTTTTCTTTCCATTGGATTTTTGGCGATCTGAGGCGGTTTTCTTCAGGTTCAAAAATGGTTTGATGTCACTTTCTTCTAATTAATCACTTCTAAGCTATTTAGAAGGAACTCCACTCTTGATCCATTTCAAATCCAAGGCTTTTCACAGGAAATACTTCACGCTGATCAGTTCTGAGGCAGTGATAACTTTGAACTAGGCGTAGTCGCCTGAATAAGGTTTACCAGAACGATGTTTGATTTAAAAATCATAGTTTTGCAACTTCTGCAAGCGAGATCTCAGTTGCCCTCTACACTCCTTCCTACATGAATGATTCCTCTTTTTTTTTTTTTTTTTTCTAAGTTTCACTAAAAACTGTCTTTATCAGTTACAACAGTTACAACTTTTATTTAACTACTTGACTTTACAAAATTCACTGATCATTTATTGCTTCAACTTAATTTTATACACCAATTCTTATATTTTCACTGACTCACTGTCTTACATACTTAGCTCTTATACAAAAACATCCAAGATAGATCCTTGAATGCTTTTTCACTTGAATAACAAAATAGTATTTTATGGTTTATCAATATTTAAAGCACAAAATAGGTTAACCGCTAATAAATAAACAAATATGTAGTTTTAACATCCAATTGAAATGTTGCAAGAAAAACTCACTCAAACAGTACTTGTAAAATAATAAATCACATGAACATAAATTATTTCAGAATTGTTGCTGGATATCGAGGTGATGGTAGGCGATGGTCAGTGGCTTCCCTACCCTCTTCTGGTTATGGAACTACCCCAGGCAGTTCAAATTTCTCTGTGAGTATTGAAAGCTTTTTTAAAATTATGTTTTGAATGTATTTGATGTTTATATTTTCCTTTAGTCCAAGTGTTCAAGCCAGGAGAGACTGCATCAGTTGCCACATATTCCTACATCTGAAGACATACAAATGCTGACTCATCATTTCTCCAGTAATGAAAGCAATCCTTCTCTGCCAGGAATTAGTTATGATGACACTGCCATAACCCATAAATCACCATTGCATAGACCGAGGTCGAGAAGTCTTAGGTATAATAATATAAATTTACTACATTTAAAACTGTAATAATGATTTGTTCTTATAGTAGTCCTAGTAAATCACCAGTAATTGACAACGAAATATGCATGATGAATGTTCTTTATAAGGACAGGTTTCCTAAAGCAACTCAACAAATGGAGGAAAGGTTAAACAACTATATTGAAGAAAATAAAACTTTCGATTTTGGGGAAGATTGTGATTATTTACCAATTGTACGGTTTGTTCACCATCAGGTTCTAGAAATGTCTAGGGATTGCCTACATAAGTCTCAAAATAAATTAATTACAAGTCGGTATTTTTATGAAATGTCTGAGAATTTGGAGAGATTGTTAATAGAGGTAAGTTCGGGTTAACAATATTTTGCCTTAAAATAATAGAAATTTTCAGACAAAAGAGAAGTCTGAGGATGCTGCGGCCATGATTACAGGGTTTATAAAAAAATTGCTTCTAATAATTTCACGACCAGCCAGACTTTTGGAATGTCTTGAATTCGATCCTGAGGAGTTTTATCATTTTTTGGAGGCTGCAGAAGGGCAAGTTAAAGGCTTGCAAGGACTCAAGGCAGACATTCCTCAATATATCATTCAGAAATTAGGTTTAAACAGGGATCCCATCGCACAATTACAGCAGGAACTGAAAGATTGTAATTGGTCTAGTAATTCATCAAGATCATCTTTATGCATATCTTCTTCCACTCCTGTTTCTAGGAAAAATCTTGACAATCCTAATGAACAAGATTTTGAGGTTTGTATTTAGTAACATCTGCTTTTCACAAGTAAAAAATTGAAGACATTTGAAATGACATCTCCCTTCATTTCTTTATAATACCTATATTGTGTATTCGCTGTACCTATGTTTATAAATATTTTATTATATTTTGAATGTCTTCCACACACTTGTGCAGTATTTCAAATGTAATTTAATCTTTTAAAAATTCTTTTAGGTAGTTAAATTAATATCTAACGGTGCATATGGAGCAGTGTACTTAGTCAAACACAAGCAAACTCGGCAGAGATTCGCCATGAAAAAAATTAATAAGAATAATCTTATGCTGCGTAATCAAGTTGAACAAGTATTTGCCGAAAGGGATATTCTCAGTTTTGCAGATAATCCATTTGTAGTTAGCATGTATTGCAGCTTTGAGACCAAGAAGCACTTATGTTTAGTTATGGAATATGTAGAGGGCGGGGACTGTGCTAGTCTTATAAAACATACAGGTCCGTTACCTCCTGATATGGCTAGGTTCTATTTTGCAGAAACAGTGTTAGCTGTCGAATATCTTCATTCATATGGAATTGTCCATAGAGATCTTAAACCTGACAAGTGAGTTTGTTTTCTTGAGAAAAATTCACGGTAAAAAATACAGAAATTAGTCAGTGGCGGCTAGGACCTTATGAGTAACCCATTTTCAGAAATAATCAGAAAAGCCATTTCTATACCAACAGTACTGTGATCAACCAAGTCTATATTTGTGTTAAAACGTTTTAGATAGAGTTTATTATCCATTTTAAACGTATTTTACTGTTTTTGGAATGTGCATTTTTGGATATTGACGTTTGATGTATTTATTCCCTTATTAATTCAAATTATTATAATTGTGCCAACCTTTCTTAGTTAATGTTTGTCTAGTCTAGGATAAACCCAGTGTTTTAGAACATTTAAGGATCAAGTTCCTCTTGACGAACTAAGACAAAAGTTCTTATAAGATGAGCGCGCAACTCTTTCATTTCTGAGATAAAGGGTGTATTTAAAGGTATTCCAAATAACAAAATTGTTTCTATAATTAATTATTTGAATAATGGAAGACCCGAAGGGAAGTTAAGTACAAAAAACAACAGTCGCTTTATTAAAAAAAATTATGTAGGACGCGTATAATTTCTTTTAGATAAACCAATTTAAGTCCGTTGACCCGGAGATCATCACGGATCAGCATGTAGTTGGTGGCCTCATGTTTGTCACCCTTCTCAAACACCGGAACAATAACCACTCTTTTACTAATATCTGGGAAAGTATTTTTTTTCGAAACAGTTGAGAAGTAACTTTATTCATGGAATAATTATCCAATTTTTTACAACCCCCATCACTAACAGCTATTTGCATCGGTTTTCCGTAAAACAAACTAACTTAGGTAGAGGGTAAGCTTAAGGTGAACCTTAAGACTGAGTTGTTTTGCGCCATAAGACGTGGAACAAATCTCAGCTAAGAATTAAACGCTATTGGCAACGGCGCAAAAATAATCTATTAGGCAGGTGACACAATGGAGACATAAGTTTCTTGAAACTTGTTGCAAGAAACTGGAAATTTATTTCATTACCACACGACACGCATACATTCAAATGAGGCAGAGCATATTGACGTTTCTGAAACATGAGAGCAGACATTGTTTCGCCAGTGTGCTCCGTCTCATTTGAATGTATGTGTAGTCTGATAATGAAACAAATTTCAGGTTTCTTGCAACAAGTTTCATGAAACTTATTTCTCCAGTGTGTCACCTGCCTTATGCGTAGCCCAAGGCAGAAATGAAGAAATACATATTTTCGCTAATTTCGTTTTTTCTTTCATAAGTTATGTCAGAAAAGGTAGATATTATGTGAATACCTATATTTTTGTCATTCTTGTGCAAAATTCTGTAGAAATTATCAGACTCAAAAATATTTAAAAAAAAAAATTATGTCGAGAGTATAGGTACCTACCATTAAAAAATATATTCAATTTTCTTCCAAAATTTAGTGGTCCAAAATTCTAAGTTGCCATTTTGCTGTGTTTTTCAACTTACTTGTTGCCCTTATATTAGTTAAAAAATAAAAAAATAAAATAAAAATTCAAATGTTAGAATTGATGTTGTTTGTTCCTTTGTGTTTTGGAACATTTTTTGACGGGAAACGCTCTTGCTGTTAAAAATAGCCTGTGATTAAGAAGACCAAATATGTGGTCGAAAAGTCGGCATAATTTTTCAAGAAAGGGAGTTTTATTTCTAAAGTCCTAAACCCATCATCTCTACTCTATCTTGATGAATATATGATCCAAAGAACTCTTTGTTTTATTCCTACTAATATTGTTTATATATGATTCAAAGCCATGCTGTTAGTGAGTTTGTTTGCTTTGCGTCTGATCTGGATTATTTTTTCACCCAAATTTTCATCCTTAAGGGGCCACAACACGTGGGGGATTGTAAGCGTTTCGTAAAAACCAAATTACAAAAAAACTGCTCCAGATATCGAGATGAACTAATTAAATTTATATAAACGAAGGATTATACAACCAGCCTACAAAAGCGTTTTTTTGATATATTAAATATTTATTGTAGAAAAATATTGCTGAAGATCGCCTTTTTTTGCTCTTTTTTGAACGCAAATATGAGTGATGATTTTTATTTTTTTTTGGAAAAATCGCTCTGTAGGCTGGTAGGTTGAACCCTTGTAAGTTTTTGTTCCAAAAATGAAGTCTGTTATTGCTTTATTGACGCCGTAGTTTGGTTTTTCGTGAGCACTAATTTGATGCATTTTTGACTAAAATTATTTAATGCAGCGTTAAAACGATTTATTGTAGTGTAGTTTTGTGTTTCATTAAGCTTAAAAATGCATTTCGCAACTGTCTATAGCTTTTCTTGAACTGTCGTCTCGCGGTCTGTGACGAAATAGCTTTTTGCCTGTAGTGGAGCCTTAACTATATTTATTAGGTTTACTAAATTATTAGCCTTAAACTTGACCGTAAGTTATTCTGCTCCTAATTATTCTTGTATGATACTGATAAGTTGGGCAATCCGGAGAACTTGCTTAATGATTTGTACAGTAATTTGTCTCAAATTTATTCTTTGCAGTTTGGCAATTTGTACAAATTAGCCCTTTTCCTGTTTTCATTGAAGGACATTGACGCCGTGGATGCTCCTTGGAGCATATCACTTTGGTGGTGCAGTTGGTATTTTCATGGTAAAAGCCCCAGCATTGGAAGCACAGGGTGTATCTTTCCCAATCTCTAAGGAATTTTCCTACGTTAATTAATTTTTGAAAATTTGCTGATCAACTGTTAACAAAAATTGTTTTTTGCTGGTCCTTGTATTAGTTTTTATGTGTATAACTTCAAATAACTAATTTTCCCCATTGAGGTAATTTTGCCCTTTTATTGTCTGTTCCACTCCAATATTGGATTATTTTTATTTGTGGATTTTTCAGCTTTGCTTCCTCAATCTGATAAGAGAATTTCAATTTTCCCTCAGCCGTCTTTTTAAGTTTTTGCGCATCTTGGATGCTGTTACCATTCTATTGCAACGTTATTTGTTTTGGTAAACTGCATTTTTTGAATTGCAATGTTCAACTGTGATGGTTCAATGGCATCCATCAACTCAGTTCCAGTTGTAATTGCCTGTTTCAGAAAAATTCTGAGTTGGGTTAATTTTCTATTTTAATGAATTTGTTTTCATACCTGCTATGTTCGCGTAGGTTGCTTGCATACAATATAGGAGGCTTGAAGGCATGGCAGAATAGCATGCATTTCACCTCAAACGGCGCCAGGTCTGCACATTGTTTGTGTATTTTACACAAACATTATGTCACAAGTATTTTTTATAATATTCATGGAACTTCACACTGCATCAAGCACAGTTCTCCAAATCCATATTCTCATCTTCTCTTCTCTACAAAACTTACTTATGAAAAATAAAAACCCACATTATCGAATTTAGGACTATGTATTTCTATGCACAAGGGCAGTTATAGAGATGTCTTAGGTAATATCAGTTTTTGGCAATTCATCTATGACTTTGCAGGGTATTTATATAAAAATTCGTTCAACAAATTTGGATTGAGAAGGCTGCCACCATTAACTTTTGTTCTTTCCACGTTTGAGTTTGATTTTACCAAGTTCCAGATAGCTATTGAGTTATAATTATTTTGTTTTTCTCAAATGTAATTGGTGTATTATTTTTTGGCTCAGACTGATATTTTCAGTCATTTTTTTACAAGGACTGAAAATATTGAGAATTATATTCGTTTGACCAATCCCTATACATATTAAGAGGTATTTCTTCTTTTATCTTTTGAATGATCAGTAAACCAAGATAATTCTAGTTTATTAGTTTCAGTTGAATGTTTTCGTTTTTCAGTAGATAGTAGTTTTTTTATAAACGACACTAACATATTTAATGTATCCTCTGTTTCTATTTCTATTTTATTTACTTCCAGCATATAAAACTTATCAATTTCTATGAAATAGGCTCCAGCGGAATAATCCTTTTTTGTTATCGCATGTAACTGAATCAAGCACAAAATCACCAGACACGTCGAGTTATCAGTGCAGTTTTGATTGAGCAGACTGTCAACTTTCATTACATCAATATATCCCGAATAAAGAATACATTTGAACTTTTTAAAAACAAATCAAAATCTGCTGCGGTGTTGAAAATACATAGTATAGTTGTAATTTTATTTTGAAAAATAACTCTTCAATTTAAATACTGGCTCTCTGCGCCATTGCCATTTATTGGCCTTCTCGGGTTATCTTTGAAATATGTTTTGATTTCCAGACTCAAATTCCTACCGCCACTGAACCAAATCTTAAATACCCGACTTGTTTATAGTGGTTTTGTAATAATTGTCTCAATAATAGAACAAGTTTAGGACTTCGGTACAAATTTTAATTTTTCAAATTGTTGACTTAAGTCTTTGTTATCAGCCAGATTTTTTTCTATCAAAAATTTAATTCTTGAAACCCTCTGCAGCGCTTTCTACACTAATCTAAATATCGCGGTTTATTGCAAAAACACTATAAGACATAGATGAACGGGAATTATCTTTTCAACCAACTCAACTTTTTTTTTATGTTTCAGCCTGTTAATCACTGCCCTGGGGCATATAAAACTGACGGATTTCGGATTAAGTAAAATGGGTCTTATGTCTTGTAAGATTTTTTGAATATTATTTTACAATACAATGGGGTCATTTGTATTTTTTCATTTAATTTTTCAAAAGTTTATTTGGGAGAAATGTATATAATTATGTACACCAAAAATCTATATCATATCAGTACCTTATAAGTTCTTTCCTGAAGAAGGGCTGTGCCTGAAATTAAATGTGTCCATATCATGCCCATTAATTTAATGACGACGCTTATGTGATACTAGCTCAATTGGATCGACTCAATCGGATGCATCCCTTATTCAATTAATCTTGTTTCGGTCATGAAAAATTTGATCTGCATTAGTCAAAACTGTTTGTTGATCCTAAAAAGTGCAGGAGAGATAGTGAATGGTTATGAAAGAGATTTGCTCTTCTTTTTTATATGTTTCGATTTTTGTTATTTCAATTTGATCTATTTATCTCCAATTTTGCTTTTGCATCCGACGGAGTCAATTTAAATCGCTTGTCATTTCAAAAAATGACCCCATTGAATTTCTAGATTAGATTAATTTATATGTCAAGTGCGTACCTAGGATTTACACCATGTTTGGTTTAATAGTCCTCATGCCTGTGTGTAAAATGTAAACAGTGATTGTTTTTAATAGCTCTACTCAACCCACTGTTCACAAATAGTGAAAATATTATTTCTACAAAATATTTTTAGTGGCAACCAACCTTTACGAAGGTTATATTGATACAGAAGCCCATCAGTTTTCTGATAAACAAGTGTTTGGTACTCCTGAATATATTGCACCTGAAGTCATTCTCAGACAAGGTTATGGTAAACCTGTGGATTGGTGGTCAATGGGCATCATTCTTTATGAATTTCTCATTGGTTGTGTGCCTTTTTTTGGGGAGACGCCTGAAGAATTATTTGCTCATACTGTTCAGGGTAAGACTAACCAATAAAGGCCTTTTTTTTTTCATTTACAACTTGGTTTATTTTAGATGACATTGAGTGGCCCGATAATGAAGACTGGTCTATTCAAGAGGAGGCTAAGGATCTTATAACCATGTTATTGCAACATTCACCAAGAGATAGACTGGGTACAGGGGGTGCCCATGAAGTTAAAGAGCACATCTACTTTCAAGGAATAGACTGGAACTCTTTGTTGCGGCAAAAAGCCGAATTTGTTCCACAGCTTGAACATGACGAGGATACTAGTTACTTTGATAGTAGGTTATTTTCTTACCAACATGTTTACTCTATTGCGTTGTTATTCGATTTAACAATTGAATACATTACTCTAACAGAAACTTTACTATGGATATGCAGCACGTATTGCATATTCTAGCAGTGTCTGAAAACGATAGAATGATGTAATGGCGGAGGATTTTACACTGCACTCATATGTAAGAAGCATGTTAGAGTACTGTTTCGTATTATGGTGCCCATATTATCAGTCACATACAGTGAGGACATAAAGTCCGTCGCCCCCCCCCCCCCCCCCTCTAACTTTTGAACCACTCGGTATATTGCAACGAAATTTGAAATGATGATATGTTGTCAAATTATCCATCTTCTGAATCATTATTTTATGAGTACTCTTGTTTTTTTAAGTGACCAATCTCATTACGTCATTATTATTACTGAAAAAAAAAACAATCATGAGTAAAAAACCGATAAAAATTTTATGAATTTTTTTTTTATGAGTGTTTATGAGGAAAACAAGCCTTTGTTTTTTCGTCATCATTTGAAAACCGCTAAACCAAATGTTTTCAGTATCAGTGATTAAATTAAGAATAAAGAGACCTTCAGAATCAGAATCAGAATCGTTTATTGGTGCTTAAAAATACACAGTACAGTGTTTACACGAGTCAAAATAATCAAATACAATTTAGTAATCTAAAATTACAATTTCATTAAAAAATTAGACTAACTATCTATTTCACATGATTTTAAATATCTGCTTTACAAAAATATAAAAGTTATGTTTAAAAATTCCAACAACAATTACAAATTTACTGTCACTCACTAATACAACAATTATCAGGACAAGGACATTTAAAAGTTTGGAATCAATAAATAAAATTAAAAAAAAAAAAAAAAGCATACAGCAATGACTAGAGACAATTTTTGGTTGGTGCAACTGTAAAGAACAATAATTGATATAATAATAAATATGAAAAATAATTTATTTGTTAGTTTTAAATAATGTTTGTGCCTGTCCAGCTGAGTGTGGAATTATAAAATTCATCTAGACTGTAAAACGCCTTAATTATGAGAAAATCTTTAATTTTTTTCTTAAATTCGGAATTATTTAGTTGTATTACATGCTCTGGTAGTTTGTTAAAAAGTTTTACAGCATGATATCCAGGTCCACCCTGACATCTCTGTAAACGATGGTAGATGGGTCTTAAGTTATTTTTGTTTCTCGTGTCATGGCTGTGAAAATCACCATTACACATAAATGAATCATAATGGTCCCTAACATAAACCAGATTTTGCAGGATATACTCACAGGGCAATGTCAAAATTCCGTTGTCAATAAAAGCCTGCTTGCAGTCATCTCGATACCCAAACCAGCCACTATTCTAACAGCCCTTCTCTGCACAGAGAAAACCCTCTGTGCTCCATTTGCATGACCCCATATTAGCAAAGCATAACCTACATGTGAGTGTAGCAAAGAAAAGTATGTTTGTTTTGTAACTCTAGATGAGACACATCTTGCCAAATTTCTTAATAAAAAAGTGTTTTTGCAAAGCTTATTTGAAATTATTTCAGTGTGTGCATCCCAAAGAAGTTTTTGGTCAAGATGCACTCCTAAGAATTTTACACTGTTGGTCATGGGTTCTATATTTTTTAGAGAAAAAGTATAGTTTTGGGTTTTAGATTCATTCAAAAAGAGTTTGTTAGCAGCAAACCATTGCCTAGCCCTCAACTGTGCCTCCCCGACATACAGACAGCTGTTGGTAGATCTGGATGCTGAACTTGACCTGTGCTATCGTCCGCAAATTTTACATACTTTTCCAACTCCGCTATTTTGGGTAGATCATTAATATAGATTAGGAATAGAATAGGACCCACAATTGAGCCCTGTGGTATGCCTAAACGATATATCACTCGACACCGCCTTCTATTGAAAAAAACGTTTCAAAACTCTGCCCAGCTGTCATTTTGACAGCTGAAGCTGTCATTTGCATTTCAAAAAATGGAAAATTTGCTCACATATTCCAAATTTCGTTGCAATATACCGAGCGGTTCAAAAGTTAGATGGGAGCGACCAGCGACGGACTTTATGTCCTCACTGTATAGATAGCAATAATAGCATTGAGTACAAAAAAAGATGGAAACACTAACTTGCTAAATTACTTTGGTATCTACTTATATCAAGAGGGAGAACTTTCAGTGGTATCCCTTTTCTCTACAAACTCCTGAATCACAGCGTATACTAAGCCGTCATCTTATGAATGTTTGGTTTTAAAGTGCCATATCATGAAATAATAAGATGACCAATTACTGTAACATTGCAAATGTCACTTTTCTATAAATAAGATTTATATTTTAAATTTCCTATAATTATTCAGTACATGTGGCGGCATCTATTGCCGGCTGAATGTATTGTTTTTTCGGCGACCTCGAGAATGGAGTACCTAGGCGTTTTCTTTTGACTGCCTTGATCTGTTCGATTCGGTGCTTTATTGTTCTCTAACCTCGTTAGTAGTTTTCGAACCTGGCGATTTTTGTTTTATTGGTTTACCTAGGCCAAGATTTGTTGAGTTGTGTGCCTTATTTATTTCTTTTTCAGGATTACTAACTACCGTTTACTAATTATTTTCTAGGTGTGTTTCTGAATTTTCACACTTCCATATTTTATGCAATTTTATATAAATTTTAGTAAATTTAGTGGCGCCCTGGCCATACTGTACTTATTAAAAACTATCAACCCACACCTAATTTTTTTTTTCGCTGAGCAAACCGAGCACATTATGGGCTCCCTGTTAATTCGATAACAAAAGGGGTTAAATTACATTGACAGAACAGTTCCACTACATGAACTACACAAAAGAGCCCGGCCAATAAGTAGACTGGCTAATTCATTGGCAAATAATGTACACTTTTCTGAAGAAATTTAAAATGGCTTAAAACAGCTTTGAAAGTAGCACTAAACATGTAAATTTCGACCATTCTCTTAGTAGGAACACTAGGTAGATAATGCTTTTTAGGTTGACTTGGTTTTAAATTGAATTCTATGAGGGCAGCCAGTTATTTTATATCTGAGACTTACTTTGATGGGTGATAATTGTTATGGATTTATTTATTAAATTAATGTCTTTTTTTTTAAATTCGCGCACACATAATATAATAATATTGTCTTGAGAGAATTTCTCGTTTGCAACTCATGAAAAACTCTGTAAGGCGTTGCTTGAAAAATCGTACAATGTTTTGCCAGACGCCCTGATTGGCTAGGACACAGATGAATCGAGAATCGTGGTTTGTTGCCTGAAAATTTTAAATGTTTAGACTTCAAGTTGCAACATTATCCAAAGCCCCTCCCCAGTGCATTCTATAAAATGAATTATTACCATGACATGTATGTATTTATACCATTACTTAATTTTTCACCTGTTCAAAGTTAAAGAATAGAGGTGCAACACCATGTTGTAGCTCCAGCTTTAGCCTGCATAATTCAATATCAAATATTGAGATGAGCAACAAGCGAGTCAAGTCTACGTTTTCGACCTTTTTCAACCTTAAAAAGTGATTGCTTAAGACGATACAAGATACTGTTTCCTTTTTTTAGTTTACTTCTATACTTTATATTTGATTTTTTCAGGCCGCATGGACAGGTACAGTCATGAGCTTGAAGATGACACGGATGATACTGACGATTCTCCAGTATTTGGACTGTTCTCATCATGCTCGCCGCAGTACAGAAAAACTCATGGCTCTAAATCAAATCATGCATCATCGGACACAAGTAGTTTCAAGTCTGCTGAACTAGCTACTCCAGAAGCATCTGCAACTGGATTGGAACTTAAGCACAAGACATCTACCACCTTTACTCCTATTTCACTAGATTTTACGGGATTACCCAAACCATCTGAATGTCGAAAGGTAGGTAACACTTTATACATGACTTGCCATCAGTTTCAATTGTCAATAATATTTTGTGTTTAACTTATTTCTTGTGCGTAGATTTCATTAGACCTCTCGCTCTGCACAACAACAACTCCAGAATCATCCCAAACTGATAGTGATGATGTATCTCCTCAGATTCACAGGAGAAGAAAGGCAAGCCACGGTCGGGATATTTTACCAAAATTCTCCATTTCTATTGAAGATAAACATAGTAGTATTGAAGCTGGAACATCTTCATCTGAAAACAGGGAAAAATCGCCAGTAAGAAGAGTTCAAGTCTCAAGCCCACAGCCAGGGAAACATAAATCGCGTTCTGTAGTTAAAAGTGCTTCAGTTTCTGGTTTGTCATTGATGATTCCATCAGGTAAATCCTATTATTATTGCTTAGGTCGTGTTTATGTTGGAGCTGTGATAAACGATAAAAGCAACAATACTAATGATACTTTACATTAGTATCGTTACTTTTATCGTGTTTCACAGCTCCAACATAAACACGACCTTACTCTCTTCTAGAAAGAAAACCTTTTTTTTTTGTTACAAAATTTGTTAAATTATTTATCAAGAATCAAAGACAAATGCAACTGTGTTTAACAATTTCTTGAAAAATACTCAATTATTATTCTTGTTTATAAGATGTCATTGGTTTCATACTGCTTTTATTTACTTATTTTCACAGTTCCTTCATCTGCAAGGTTACATCTAGTTACATTATTTTACATTATTAGCCAGGCAAAACAAGTTTTACTGGTACTTTATAGTAGAAAATGATTAAAGAGCCATCAGTCGAGGAGCTTGTCAACTTGTGCCTGTAATAACGACTACTTTGCGTTTAATGTAAAGGGTGGGCCAATTTGGACACTTTCTTATGTAAACACCCTTTATTTTAAGAGATAGAAAAAAATGAACCCCCCACTCTGAGGCTCAAATTTCATGAAATTTTGATTGGAGCAAATCACATTTTGATATCTTCAACCGTTTAGCCGCTAGAGGGCGATTCTCGATTTTGAGCAATACTGTGAAACCTTCATAACTTTTTTATTTATGAAAATAATTCATTTCTTCTTTCTTCACACTTTTTTAAGTGGAATTCAGTGACGTTCTCAGCTTTTTCTATTTGGCTCCAATTCCGAGATATTGACTAAAATCCGATTTTATTCAATAGGACATCCTATATATTAATAGCTCATTGAAAAGCTCTGCTTTTGCTGATTTCAATGATATAAAATTCGATAGGTTTATCTCCAACGGTTTCTGAGAAAAAAATAATTTCGATTTTTGTCATAAGACACAATGTGTGGAAAAAGGACTTTATATCTGTAAGGAAAACGAGAAAGGTCTCTTTCTAACACATTGTTTCTTATGACAAAAACAGAAATAATTTTTTTTCTCGAAAACTGTTCGGGATAAACCTATTGAACTTTATATCATTGAAATCAGCAAAAGCAGAGCTTTCCAATAAGCTATTAATATATAGGGTGTTTTATTGAAAAAAATCATATTTTGGTCAATATCTCGAAATCCGAGTCAATTAGAAAAAAACTGAGAACGTCACTGAATTCTTCTTGAAAAAGTGCTCTTAGAAAGTCTTTACGGAAATCAATTATTTTCATAAGCAACAAAGTTATGAAGGCTTCACAGTATTGCTCAAAATCGAGAATCGCCCTCTAGCGGCTAAACGGTTGAAGATATCAAAATGCGGTTTGCACCAATCAAAATTTCATGAAATTTGAGCCTCAGAGTGGGGGGTTCATTTTTTTCTATCTCTAAAAATAAAGGGTGTTTCCATAAGAAAGTGTCCAATTTGGACCACCCTGTACAGTTGCGATCAAAAAAAAGTAGTACAAAAATTATCAACCTCAATTTGAGCTCCCGGTGTAACATACAAAATTTTGACACTTAATGACATATTCTAGGTTAAAAACGGGTGGAAAAATGTCAAAATAATGTCATCTGAAGCTTTCTATGTTAAAAACTTGTCGAAAAATGCCAAAAATTTGTCATTTTTGGTTAATTATAATAGATCAGATTTTGGAGATTTTTCTTGTACTACTTTTTTTTTATCGCAACTGTACAGGGTCGTCCAAATTGGACACTTTTTTATGGAAACACCCTTTATTTTTAGAGATAGAAAAAAATTGACTCCCCACTCTGAGCCTCAAATTTCATGAAATCTTGATTGGTGCAAACCGCATTTCGATATCTTCAACCGTTTAGCCGCTAGAGGGCGATTCTCGATTTTGAGCAATACTGTGAAACCTTCATACCTTTTTTGTTTATGAAAATAATTGAATTCGGTAAAGACTTTCTAGAAGCACTTTTTCAAGCAGAATTCAGCGACGGTCTCAGTTTTCTTCTTTTTGGCTCCGATTTCGAGATATTGACCAAAATTCGATTTTTTTCAATGGAACACCCTTTATATTAATAGCTTATTGGAAATCTATGCCCTTGCTGATTTCAATGATATAAAGTTCGATAGGTTTATCCTCAGTTTTTGAGAAAAAAAATTATTTCTGTTTTTGCCATAAGAAACAATGTGTTGGAAAGAGACCTTTCTCATTTTCCTTACAGATGTAAAGTCCTTCTCGAATACATTGTTTCTTATGACAAAAACCGAAATAATTTTTTTTTTCTCGGAAACTGTTGGAAGATAAACTTATGGAACTTTATATCCTCGAAATCAGCAAAATCAGAGCTTTCCAATAAGCTATTAATATATGGGGTGTTCTATTGAAAAAAAGTAGTTAGCTCAATATCTTGAAATCGGAGCCAAATAGGAAAAAACTAAGAACGTCACTGAATTCTGCTTAAAAAAGTGCTTCTAGAAAGTCTTTACGGAAATTAATTATTTCCATGAACAAAAAAGTAATGAAGGCTTTACAGTATTGATCAAAATGGAGAATCGCCCTCTGGCGGCTAAACGGTTAAACATATTAAAATGCGGTTTGCACCAATCAAGATTTCATGAAATTTGGGCCTCAGAGTGGGGGGGGGGTCCATTTTTTTCTATATCTAAAAATGGAGGGTGCTTCCATAAAAAAGTGTCCAATTTGGACCACCCTGTACAATCATTTGTTTGTTTCTTGTTTGTACAAAGTAAAAAATAAATTCAATATTTTTTCATGTAAGCCTTGGTAGTAAGTAATAACAACATAACATTTCTAAGACGTTTTGCTTGCTATTCACCAGTTACTGACTTGTGCAACAAGTGCTTGCTTCCCACACTACACTTTTTCTACTGCGGCATAAATAAAATTTTAAATAAAAATTCAGTGGAAGTGTTAGTTCAATTTTTTACTGTACCAAAATACTTTTCGTACGCTCCGGAACTTGTGAAAACTACTTTTTGTGCACTGTTTCAAATAACCGATTTTCTAGGCGAGTTAGTATTGCGTTTTTGATGCTGTTTCAAATCACTCATTAGAAGTTTTTCAGTTTAGCTGTCAATTTTACAAGTCTAACCGTTAGAAATCAATTTTTACTATTTATGTTTTGACTTAAGAAAATGCTGTTTTAAAACTTGAATAACAAGAATGGAAAAAATATTTTTAACCCTATTTCTTAACTGATTCATTTTGCAGCTAGGTACTGCTGACATTAAAATATTATTTAAAACAAGGGCTTGGTAAATGCCAGTTTGATACCTTCTGGTTTCGGAGGAAGTTATTCTAAATACATCAGTATATTTTTCCTCTTCTTTAGAATCCGCAAATCTTTCTGTATAATGTAAATTTCAAACTTATATCTGTTTGATGCAATTTGAAAAATTTGGAACCAAAATGAAACTCGCCTGCCTAAGTTTTCAAAATTGGTTTGCTTCAAAACTGTCAAAGTTTCAGAAACAGGCTCAAATTTCAATTTTTTTATACGGAATGATCTGCAGGTTCTCGAAATGCAAAAACAAATATTCAAAATGTCAGTTGAAACAGTTACAAAATTTAATTTTGTATTATCACAAATATTCTATTTTCAATTAACAATATTTATTTTCAATTATTATCACCATAGCATAATAATTGATACTGGGTATGTATGTATACTCTTTTTTTATTACATATAATCCTACCTACATTGGTTGGTATGAAGAAACCGTATTCAATGAAATATTTGTTAATTGTATAAAATTATTAAAATAGTAGTTTTGGCATTTTGCTGCTGGTACGACTTGCAAGAACTATCAATTTATAAATTATTTTATTCATAAACAATATCCAAATCTTACAAATCCATGCCCTATCTCATTTTGATCAAACCATATTATTTTGTTATACCAACATTTTAAGGGGTCCCATGCTATTTGCGAATTTTTAATCATATAATGATGATAATAATAATATAGGAAGCAGCTGTAGGGTGATTTATTTTCTCACTTCTTTATGGCTTTTTTTAATTCTGAGCATGCAAAGCATTGAAATGAGTCTCATGATAGATTAGATATCCATAACATTAACCCAAAATTGCTTTTTTTTACTGGTTCAAAAATCTAGTGAGCCTCCTACCCACCAAGTAGAACTATAAATAATAAAGGAGGCCAGTCAATTATAGGATGATTTGTTTTTTGCCCTGTTGCTAGATTGACCTTTTTTCGAATATTATTTTTTTGTTAAATGTAAGTTATTTAATTTTTTGATTAAATAATATGTATATATTATATTATATTATAACAACCTTAGTTTATCACTACTTCAACACTTGATATTTCAAGAAAATTATTGACACAATTTTTAGAGTACTAATACTTTAGAGTACACTTGTAACAAAAGTAAATAGATCCCAACTGAAAATTATATGGAAATATATTGAATACTGATAAGCCTAATACATAAAACCAATTGTGACATAAAGGTTTTACAAGGGTGGTAAATCCTAAACATAAACACAGTGTTTATAAAAACATTAAATTAACAAAATTATTTTTAGATGATTTTCAAGCACCACCTTGCAGTATACTTTCTCCAAATGGCGGAGGCGGTTCAAGTACAGCCAGCTCTCGAGACACTTCACCTTGTCGAGAATTGTCACCATTAGTAACTACCCTCAAACCACCTATTATCATCCGTAGGGGTCCTAAAGGTTTTGGTTTTACAGTTCATACTATCAGGGTCTATTATGGTGACACAGATATTTACACCATGCATCATCTGGTTATGGTACTGAAAAAGTCAATCTAATATTGGTCCACGATCTAAAATAAATTATTTTTTAGGCTGTGGATGAGGGTAGTCCAGCATTTGAAGCTGGACTTCGGCCTGCGGACCTTATTACTCATATAAATGGTGAAGCAGTTCAAGGACTGTATCATACCCAAGTATTGCAGCTGCTGCTTGGAGGGGCAGAGCATGTCAGCTTGAGGGCAACTCCATTAGAACAAACTTCAATAAAAACCGGAGGAAGAAAGAGGGAGCCTGGACAAAGTAAATTAGCCAAACGCAGTTTGAACAGACAAAAGAAGCAGAAAAAAGACAGTGATAAGCGCAGAAAAACGTCGTTGTTTAGAAGAATTAGCTCTAAGCGTGCGAGTGTTGAAATGCAGCAAGTAAGGCTTTCCATTTGGTTACATCCAAAAGTAACAAACTTTAAACACGCAATACCCAAATAAAAATAAAATAATAACATAGGACTAAAAAAGTTCATTACACAGTGGATCTCACTTCTTGAAGATACACTGTCAACTATCAAAGAACTCTTTCAAATACAAAGTTGATGATAGTATAATTCATAAGCGAAATCGTTCATGGCATAGAAGAATGAGTATGTAATTAAAAGTTGACGACTCGTACTCGACTAGGGTTCGAAACTAGGACCTCTATGTTACCCCTCTAAACACTCTACCAACTGATTGATTAAGTGTTTTGTCAACTTTTATGATACAATTAGGAACCTTCGGCGATAACCAAAAGTCGGAGTGGTAAGTGTAAGGTTAGAGTGTCACATTCAGGATCAATGGTTGTTGGAATCCGTTCATCCATTCAACCAATACATACCAACTGATCGGTTAGGTTCAATTTCAATTTTCAATTTCAATTTATTTCAACAGCAAATTAACAATAATTAATTACAAACTAGATTACAATATTACAAATTACCTACATGCCTACAATAGCAGGAGAGGAAAAGGCCATAATTATTATCTATTACATCATTATCGTTTAGTTCATTAATTTGTGTAGAAAAAGAAAAGGACACCTAGATACATATGTATCTGTATGTGTCTTATGGGTTTTAAAATTATAGGACACAAGTTATTACTAATAATCTCAACAATGTTCCCAAAAAAGGAAGAATTGCCCATACTTAGGTATATTAAAGCTTAAAGACCCAAACTAATTTACAGTACTAATACTAAATCCAATTATAATTATAATTATAACACTGTCATTGTCAGTGAGAGCATGAGACACCACTATTACAAAAACTTCTTTGGATACGAATCTAATCGGTAAAAATTGTATTAAAATAATTATAAAAGTTTTCATAGATAAACAATTTGCAGGGTTTACTGAAATTCTTCCTGCCTAGGTTTTTTATAGTGGTAGGTAGTATATTATAAAATTTAGGACCAAGAAAGTTACAGCAGTTTTTAAAGAACTCGCTGTTAGGTTTGGGAACTTTGATGGTCTCATTTAAGATTGCTCTTGTTTGATAGTGGTGATCTATTGTAATTCCATTAATTTCATCATGGTTTCTTATATAACAGCAAACTGTATGTATATATAAACATCTAATGTTTACAATTTTAGGGTTATATAGCAATAAGGATGGGTACAGAGGTTTTTTCTTGAATATTACTTTTAAGATTTTTTTTTGTATGATATTTAAAGGACTTAATGTAGTTTCATATAGCCCACCCCAAACCAATATACCATATCTTATTACAGATTCTACCAAACTGAGATATAATGTCACAAGCAAACTCTGATTAAGAAATTGCCTGATTAAATAGGTAGAACTTATAAATTAGGAATCTAAGTCTTTTGGCTATGTATAGAATATGTGATTCCCATTTTAAGTTTTGATCTATGACAATTCCTAAGTATTTTGTGCTATCGGTTCTCTTTATTATTGAGTTAAGACAAATTAATTCATTGAAAATAGGACGATCCGCCTGTGTTTTTGAGAAGGCTATAAAATTTGTTTTATCAATATTCAATGATAGCTTAAAATGGTTAAGCCAATTTTTGACTTGTTCAATTTCAGCCTGTGCAGATGACTTGACCGCATCCCAGCTCGGCCCATTGAACACGATTACTGTATCATCTGCGTATGAGATTATTTTCCCCTGTATATTGATCTCACATAGATTTTTAAGATATAAATTGAACAAAATTGGCCCAAGTACAGTGCCTTGTGGTACACCAATTAGAACAGGTTCTGGATCACTTATGCAGTCTCTAATTTTAACTGATTGCTCTCTGTTCATTAGATAATTTTTAAAGACCTCTAGCACAATACCCCGGATCCCAAGGTGCTCAAGCACATTAAGAAGCTTTTGATGGGGAACCGTATCAAAGGCCTTTGCCAAGTCGAGAAACACTGCAATACATTTCTTGTTATTATTTAAATTATCAGCTATATGGGATATTAGTTCGTGCATAGCATCACTGGAATTTAAACCTTCCATAAAACCAAACTGATTTTTTGGCATTAAGTTATTCGCCTTTAGGTAATCAATCAATCTATCCTTAAGACACTTCTCAAATATTTTTAGCTACATTGCTTATAAGGCTTATGGGTCGGTAATTATTAATTATGTTTCCGATTTCCCGATTTGTGAATTGGGTGTTATAATCGATTTTTTAAATTCTGATGGCACCTCGCCTGTTGAGAAAATTAAATTAATAATATGTCTAATTGGTTTAACTAAGTATATATGCAATAGTTGAGATGTTTGACAGTTATGTTATCAAAACCAGGGGCACTGTTATTTTTTAGGCTAGATATATGTTTGATAATGTCATTTTCTGATACAGAGTTCAAAAACATTGATTTATTTATTGAAGGAATAGAATAATTTATATTATTATCTGTATGCTATTATGCATATTAATTCCGATAGAGGAAAAATATTTAATTAGAATGATTTGCCATGCTCATGTCACTTTCAAATTCATTACCTTCATTGTTAGTTATTTGTATCTTACTATTACATTTACTTGTGGAATTGTTGGTTGCCTCAGCTATAATTTCATAAGTTTTCTTTAAGTTGTTTTTATTCTCATTAATTTTGTCTCTATAATAATCATTTTTTGTTTTTGTTATTAGTCTCCTTGAATTATTTCTGTATGTTTTATAATAATTTTCAAATTCTAGGCAGTGATTTTTTGACAGTTGTTTCTTAAGTTTATCTCTTGTTTTAATTGATTTCACTAGTCCGTTTGTAATCCATGGCTTTATTTTTTTTGTCAATCTTTTTGTGTTTTCCCTATGTATCATTTTGCAATCATCAATAATTTTGAGGTATCGTTCATAGAGCAATTGTGTGGCTATTTTAGCATTAGGTTCCTCACACACATTAGTCCAGGTTTCAGCATTAAATTTTTCTATCAATCTATCTGTGGTTAATTCTAACAACATCTTTGTTACCAGTAGTATTTTTTAATCGGTTTTCTGTTTTCAGAAGTGATGTTTATCATAATAGGATTATGATCAGTTAAGTCATAATTAATTACATACGAGTTTAGGGCCAAATTCAGATTTGGCGCCCTCAAGTTATTTCTTATAAATATATGGTCCAGACAAGTTTTGACTTATAGGTCTTGTAACAGTACTTACATATGACATAAAACCGCAAGAAAATAATGTGGCCAAGTATTCATTAGTAAAAATTATTTGAACAATTCAATATATCAATGTTTATATCACCTATCAAAATTTCTATATTTCTGTCAAGATTGACACCAATGTAGTTACTCAAATCGTTGATAAATTGCTGTATAGATGTTTGAGGAGACCTGTAGATGCCATTGATTCCGAAACTTATATTATTTACAGTAAATATTGCTCTAATGATCGATATGCCTGACCGTCTCAAGCCGTATTAAGTTAACTTCAGCGATTAAGAGTAGACTTAATTAGTATCACTACTCCATCATTCTTATTGGAGAGTACCATTATGTAAAATGTTGTATATCCATTTATACTAAACTCTGCTACTGATTCCAACTGAAAACATTCTGACAATACAATCACATCAGAAAAATTCACATTAAAACTTTCCAGAAACATCAACATTTCATCAAAATTCTTTTTGATGCTTCTTATATTAAAATGTAATACATTTACAATTTTTTCTTCAATATTTATTTGGCTAGCTATACTATGAGCATCCACAGTCATATTAGGAACATTATCCGGAAATGTGTTAAATAAATCGACTTCTTGAATGTTTGCCATTGTGAGTTTTGAAAAAGGTATAAATATAAATAAATCCCAGAAATAAACAAATAAGATATTGTTTGTTTCTGGTTTATCAATGGGTTGAAAGGATAATCTGTCATACTAATATGCTTTAAAAGTAAATATTTATATGTTTCACACAAACTTTTATCGTTTGCTGCATGATTTATAGAACTCTTATTATTTTCATTTTTATTCTTATACTTTGTGCAGTTAATACATTTAAGATTCTCTTTCTTATTACACATTTTTGTGTTGTGACTTTCAGAGCATATCAAGCAGCAGTCCTCGTTCCTACATTTTTTCTCACCATGCCCATACATACCACATTTGTAACAGTTATTGATATTAAAATCGTCATAGACCTTACATCTAGTGCAACCTATATAACATTTTTTGTTTCTCATTATTAGTGAATAAGCAATTGGATTAACTTCCATAATAAGGGACCAGCTATTGGATTTTTGACTAAAATACTTGTAAGTAATTTTTATTGGGTTTTCAGAGGAACTATTATTAGGTATTGCATTTCGAGAACATATATCAGACTCTATTTCTTCATTGCTCAGACTCTTAATATAATTGTCCACTCCTATTACCTTTATTCTTGGGCTCTTTTTTGTTTCCACCTGTACTCTTGCTTCTTTGGATAGATCCTTGGATAGAGGTGTTTTACTTTTATGATGCAATCACGAACCTTCAGCGGTTACCAAAAGTCCGAGTGGTTAGTGTAAGGTTGGAGTATCACACTCATGATCAATGGTTGTTGGAATCCGTTCATCCATTCGACCCATCGTCGACAGATTTTCGACATCATGCAGTATTTGGATGTGGACAAGCAACCAATAATTTCAGCCAAATTAACGTTTAAAGTCGAGTCCGATTTTTTGTCCACTTAACTTTCAACTCTTCTGTCTGCTATGCGATGAACGATTTCTTTTATAAATATATTACAGACGTGAAAAAATCAACTCTATAGGCATTATTCATGGATTAGGTTTTTTTTGTCTCCCCTTTCTTGTAGATCTCTACTATTCAAGGAAGCTTCATGAGGAAACACAATACTGATTTTCCTACCTATTTGCCGATGATGCCAGGTTTCTAATGGTTTTTCTGAATTATATTAGTAGATGTTTATCAAATTAAATACATCTATTTCAAATAATACAAAAAAAATTATCTCGAATAATATAAAAATCTCTTTGTATCCATTCAATTTGTTGTAAGTTTTCAGTTCAGTCATTTGAACAAGTCATATGTTTTAAGTTAATTTGTATTTATTCTTTTAGATTGCTGCTAATATTCAGTCGCCAGTGACTGTTACGCCCAGTAGAAGTTTTCAATCTTTTCCACGAAGTGATAGTAGTCTATCTTCATGTCCGATTAGAACTGTAACAGCCAACCGCTCCAGCCTATCACCTGATTCATTCAATCAACACTCAGGTAATTCAACACCACCAGCAACTTCTTCTGGCACACCTTCACCTACATCTGGAGCAACTGGAAGAAATAATAATAAGCAGCATTATCAAAGGCCTTCAACATTGCATGGTTTAAAGCACAAACTTCACTCTACTGGCTGTTCTAAATCGCTTCATGCTAGTGGTCCTTCTTGTTCGTCTACAGTTCCAAACAGGAGAAAGTCTGTTGGCCACATACCACTTTCACCTTTAGCCAGAACACCTTCGCCTTCGCCTCTACCAGCTTCACCTACAAGATCTCCAAGTCCGCTCGCTTTTCCAATTGGTCATCAACCTGGTAAGCTGTCGTAAGAGCATGTTTTTTTTTTAGAGTAAAATTTGTTTTATACTGTGTTCTCTATCCCAAATTTATGTTTCCATCGAAGATATAATTGCTTAGCACATTTTAGGGTTTTTTCAAATTATTTATTGAGCATTTATTTTGGAAAGTTAGTCCCAAATTATTATCCCAATTTCAAAATGTATAAAGCATTACACAAACAGTTTGCAAACTTATAAATAAATTTGTAATGTAAATAATTTATTTATTTCTTCATTCCCTACTATCAATAGTAGTATATATCAATATATGGTATTCAATATACATAAACCTCGTCAAATTCAGATAACTAATAGAAAACAATATAATGTACTAATGACTAATAAGACTAATACTCACACTAGAAAGCAAATTACACAAAATCGTTGAACAAAACATTCAAAGAATTCCATCTGTAAATAAAAACTGTACTTCAGCAGATGAATATTTCATAGGTCAGTGACAAGGGGCGGTTCACTCCCGAAATGCTGTACATTTTCATCCGAAATCCCGTAAAATTATATCGAATTCCTTTGGAAGTCCCGAAAACTATTGGAAATCGCAAATAGCGAAATCCTATCCAAAATCCTTACGAAATCCCGATGTCCCCAACCGAAATCCTTCTGAAATCCCGAAATCTCAACCAAAATCCTTCTGAAATCCCAATAGATTAATCGAAATCCTCGAAATCCTCAGTGGTACGACATTGAAAGTCGAATATCCGAAGTCTTTCGAAATCCCTTAAAAATTGTCGAAATTCCCTGCGATTTCCGAAATTGATGTACAAATTGTGGTGAGTGAGCCGCCCCTCGGTCAGTGAACACCTTGAAATATTGATCTCAAAATTCTTCTTAGATAAGCAATAATTTCCTTTACCTAGAGGCCTATGCATGACACCTCAAATGCTCTATTCCATTATCCTTAAACTGGAAACTCAACCATCATTTTTTTTGCAAATGTGTTAAGATAATTTAAATTTAAAACCTTTAAAACAAGGTATCACATGTACATCACAACAAATTAAAGACTATGTTTCAAAGCAGCTGCAGCAAAAATTTCAATAAAAGAGTTACCAAGTGACCCTACAAGATTGAAATCCTTTATTTTGACAGTACCGAAACCACGAAGGGCCTATTCGGGTTTGGAAAAAGGACGGTTCCAGAACGGTTCAAAACAATGGCACAGTTTATTATTGAAATTAGTGATAGCCGAGTTGTTGTCATTTTGTTAGTTGAAAACCTGTCCGATTGTTTTGAACCGTTCTAGAACCGTCCTTTTTCCAAACCCGAATAGGCCTAAAGATGAACTTGATTTCTGGCCACAAAATGTTGGAATCAGGCGCTTCAACCACAGCCTGTTTTTGAACTACAAACCAGGAGGAGATTTTTTAGCTTAAATTATTCAGAAAGTTCAGGTAATATTGTGTTACGTTTAGTACACCAAAATATACAATGTCTCAGATACAAAGTGGATGAAGTGGAGGTTTTCTTGATGCAGGAAGAAATAGACATTATGTGCTTCTCAGAAAGTTGGTGTGTTGACTTAGAGATGAACAGTTTGAATATATCTGGTTACCATACTGCTACCAGTTTCTCCAGCATTGACTTGGTTTCTGCGTTCTCGTTCTGTATTGAGCTGATTTTTGAGTGCACCGGCATACAGATTTACACAGAGAATATTAAAACCAATATCCTATGTATATACAGGTCTCCACTATCCCAAAAGGCTAGTTTCTTTGTACAACTTGAACTGTGCCTAAAGTACCTAACCTTTTAGTGGCACACTATTGTAACCGGTGATTTTAACATTAATTTATTCCACGATAACTCATATAAGTTTCAACTTCTAGACATTTTAAATTCTTTAAATATTATTCCGGTGTTTAATGTACCTACTCATGTAGGCAGAAACTCATCCACTGCCATTGATTCTATTATATGTTCAAGTATAAACTGCCTTTCACTAGATAAAAAAGTTTCTGAGAATGGCCTATCTGACCATACCATTCAACTAATTAGGCTTCACATTATCTCGAATGTGACTCCTACCACCCCCCTAAAAGGAGCTTTTCCGGAAAGAAACAAGGCATATTTTAGACAATAATTATTAAATGGACACTCTTGGGCTGTTTTGGTTGAGGGTAGTCAGTGCCGGCCCGAGGTTACTTTTAGGATGGAGCGAGATCTGACTTTGGCGCCCCTAATTAAGTAAATGTAAATCATATACTCTATCCACCGATCAGAGCTATTCTAAACTTAAAATGTCAAGTAAATTGACTTGAATTTCCCAAATTCAAGTACAAGTACCAAATTCCACGGAAGTCAGAGTCAAGTTAGTATTAACTTAAACTTGCGTAGGTACTTGAAATGACATTCACATAGAAATACTTCAAAAAATAATTTAGGTATTTTTTCTTCCAAGTATTATTCAAATTGAAAACAAATTAAATTATTGCTATCGATAATCTTAAACGGAGTGTGACCCAAAATAAAGTTTTAGAAAAAAAAAATCTAAGAACAAATTTTCAAACCGCACTAGGTTACGACCAACCGTTGCGAAGATACTGTGATGATATTACACTTTTATCCTCTGATCTCAATGAACAAATTATGAAAAAAAGTTTGACAGATAACCTGCATTTTTCATCTAATCACTTCTGTAATAATAAACTGCTGCTTAACCAGGCAAAGACTTACACAATGCAATTTCATTCTGAGGCAAATTACAATAAAAGCCAATACATTCTTTTGAATGGCAGATCAATAAGGCAGGTTAGTACTGTAAAACTTTTGAGTATCCATGATGACATGTCATTAAACTGGAGAGAGCAGATAAATTATATATGCAATAGGTGTGCGAAGAGTTATTTTGCTTTATATCGTCTGTCTCAAATAACAAGTAGAGGCACTGTAGAAACGTTTTATTTTTCAATTATTGAATCATGTATTAGATCTGGCATTGTGCTTTGGGGTGCATCCTCTGCTTCACAGACAGGTTTTTATAATGCAGAAGAGGGCTATTCGATTCATGTATAATATGAAGTTTAGGAAATCTTGTAGACCAAAATTTATTTCTGAAAAAATCATGACTATATATGCCTTGTTTATACATTTTCGAAATCTTGGAATTTGTAAGGAATATCTCGAATGCTTTTAAAGCTCTAAATTTACATCATGATTACACAACTAGATTTGGACTTGATTATCGGTATGACGTTCACCGTCTTGAGCTTTACAAAGCAAATCTTTATTTTTATTTTTTTTTTTATTAAAAATATTTTATTGGAAAATGCATTTTATACAGTGGAGGATTTACTAAACTTTACGCAGTGGAAGATATGAATGAATACTTCATAAAAATTGTAGTAATATATTAATTGATTATTCTTATTATGCTTATTGTTGAATATATAATTATTTATAATGTTATGTTATTGATTAGTTTGTAATGCAAATTCTATCTGTGAATATTTTCCTATTTCCTGTATGTGATCTTTGGAAATAAACATCTATTCTATTCAATTCTATTCTATACCAAAAAAACAGTGACTCAATAAACCTTTATATACAGTGGCGACAAGAGAGGTCGCGCCGCCATATTCTTGCCAATTTTCGATATGAATATATAAGATTTTAAGGAACCAATCAAAAATAGGACGAAGATTGTCGCGTCTGTGGATTATTGGGTCATTGTATTGATTCACGTTTTCAAGCGCCATCTATCCAACCCAGTAGAAACCCTCGTGAAAAATAATATTTACTTTTTAACCTGTCCAGCAAATAGCAAATCACCTTATCACCTGAAATCCACCATCCAACAATGTTAACAATCCACCGTGTTAACGAGCGATGTCTCTGAAATGGAAAAAATATTGTATTTGGGCCAATAGGTGACACATACTTCTTGATGAGACTCAAATTCCCTTTGTTTTGTTTTTCACTCTTTTTTACAATTTAGGTACTTATTATAGCCCCTGACAAAAAGACTTTTTTTTTTTAATAATAATAATAATAATAATAATAACAATAATAATAGCTAATCGCAGAATATCATGGCCTTCCAATGAATGTCCGACCGGCAATACCCCGAGTGTCATACAACAAATACACCAAAACGTTAGTGGAACAAGTCAACGCCATCTTGGCGAAAGTGATTGAACCGGAAGACCAACTGGAGAACATCTGCCACAAAGTCTACTGCGGAGCATTGACAGTATCCCAGACCCTTGGCTTATTCCAAACAAAAAACAACAAGCACAAGAGCCATACAAAACCAACAAACCTGCCCACATGGAAAAAGAGGCTTGGGGAAAAGATAGCAAAACTAAGAAAACATATAGGCCATACATACAAAACTTTTCAGAAAAGCCTCCGCCAATTCTACAGACACTTGGAGCAGAATAGCATTCCAAAAGAGTGCCAATCTCCCTCTGAGCCTAAAATGGTGGAATTTTGGTCCAACGTATGGCCAAGAAAAAAACAGCATAACCATAAAGCCTACTGGATCCAACAGGAAAAAGAAATACATACCCAACTGCCAGAAATGACCCCAGTAAACATAACAACTGAAGATGTCCGTCAAGTAGTCCAAAAATCGCACAACTGGAAAGCCCCGGGACTGGACAAAAATTGAAGCATTTTGTTGAAAAAGCTACACAAATATCTGGCACGTCAGTTCGCTAATGCTTGGTCCAGCCCAGAGTCGATCCCAGAATTCTTCACAACGGGAGCTACGTTCATGTTACCGAAAAGCAACGAAACACTCGTGTCGAAAAATTACAGACCCATTACCTGCTTACCGGTCGTCTACAAAATACTTACCTCGATTGTCGAACAAAAAATCACTCAACACTGTAGAACCAATGAAATCATGAACACCAAGCAGAATGGGTGTAGAAAGGGTGGAAAGGGCTCCTCCGAATGGCTTATTGTTGACACAATTATTAGTAACCAGGCTTTACAAAAGCGCAGAAATCTATCGATGGCATGGATTGTTTATAAAAAGGCTTTCGACTCAGTGCCACACTCCTGGATAAATGAAGTAATGAACATCTATAAAATAGACAAAGCCACAGTAAATCTTATTAAATACTTGATGAGCAAATGGAAAACTACACTCAATGTACAAGTAAACAATACAGAATATCAGTCAAAACCAATTTATATAAGAAACGGCATATTCCAGGGGGATAGCCTGAGTCCGATACTCTTCTGTTTGGCAATTAACCCATTAAGCTCTATGCTGGAAAGAAACAACTATGGTTACATGATAACACGCAACGGAAAGAACAAACTAGAGCACCTGCTTTATATGAACGACCTGAAGCTATATGCAAATAACAAAGAACAGCTCCAAAACCTCCTAGAGCTTGTAGCGGCTTTCAGTGACGACATAAAAATGGAGTTTGGACTGGACAAGTGTGCGACCATACACGCCAAAAGGGAAAAATATGTAGAGGAAGAAAAGATCATATGACAGGCACCCGAGTTTTCTACACTAGCAGCGGAAGAGCGATACAAATATCTTGGTGTTAAACAATCCCTATCAACGGGACAATCAGACATGAAAGAGATGGTAGAAAAAAATTTGATGACCAGAGTAAAAACCATTCTTAAGACTCACCTGTATGCTGAGTCCCAAGTAGCCGCCCTTAACGGCTGGGCGCTCCCGGTAATAACCCACACTTTTGGGGTACTCAAATGGTCTAACACGAATTTACAGAGAATCGATCGAGCAATCCGAGTGAGCCTTACCCAATATAGAGGTCATCATCCCAATGCATCCATGAAGAGGTTGTATCTAGAAAGGAAAAACGGAGGTAGAGGACTAAAAAATTTGGAACTTTTACACCAAAACCAAATAAAAAACCTCATACTTACTTCCAACGCAAAGAAGATCTGTTCCACGTTGCAATCTGCAGTGCTGATTCCCACCTCTGGCCTCTGAATCTTGCATTGAACGCTGCACCTAAAACAGATAAGAACATGAGAACACTCGAATTAGAATGGCAAAGTAAAACCCTACACGGTAGATACGCCGCTGCTCTAAAAAGCGTAGAGGTTGACCCCAAACTATCCACAACCTACCTGAGACATAAATTTCTGATGCCAGAAACGGAAGGCCATACAAGACCAGGTAATCTGTACAAAAAACTACAGAAAGCATATTCTTAAACAGGATATAGGAGACGACCTATGTAGACTTTGTCACAAGAATAGCGAAACTGTTCAAGACCTCGCGGCAGCATGTAGTTACTTAGCTCCAAAAGGCTACACTAACCGTCACAACTTGGTAGCAGGAATCCTACACCAAGAAATTGCTATATATTTAAACATAAGTAAAAAAAAGACTCCGTATTACACATACAACCCACGAGCAGTACTACAAAACAACGACACCAAAATATACTGGGACAGGGCAATAACAACAGACAAAAACGTAAAACACAACAGACCAGACATTCTAGTTCTGAAAGAAAATGACCACGCTTGGGTTATCGACATTACTATACCGTTGGACGAAAACATTCGAAAGGCCAAGATCGAGAAAATTGAGAAATACCAACCATTGTGCGCTGAGCTACGGAAAATCTACAAGCTTAAAAGCATTCAAGTGATTCCCGTAATTGTAACGACAAACGGCTTGGTAGACAAGGATCTAGAATCTGATCTGCAAAAACTAGGTCTGAAAACACCCTCTCCATCGTCGGCCTCTTTCAAAAAGCCATAATTCTGTCGGTCTGCAGTATGTTCCGCCGAATCCTGGCACGTGAGTAGACTCGTTGGCCACTCAGCCCCGATCTACTCAAACACCAACTTCCAAGTTGTGATGGGGAAACAAAAAATAAATAAAATTATAATAATAATAATGGCCGTGGCTGTTGCTGATCAGCTATCGGGCCCGCCCCTGGCGATAGGGCACTCGCCAGCTGGAGGGTGCTGGGGAAATAAGAATTCCCGAGGTGGACAAAAATCAGCAACCTTATGTCTGGCGGGTACTGTAACCAGCAACCAGCAGTAACAAACTTGCTACAGGTACGACACAAATCCTGTACAGCCATTTTCGCCTGCGTCTTAGGACCACGGGGCGCAACCCTGCAGACCCCAGCAACCGATGTACGGGTTAGCTACCCTTACATTGAGATCTCCACTAATCAATAAAAAGAATAAAAAAACAGTGTGGCGAGGGATTGCAGCAGGCTGATTCTTCTCGGAACCACCCAAAGGCTCAGCCTGATCCGGAAAAGGATGGAGCAAACGGCACCCCTCCGGACAACGGCACCGTAAGAACTCGCAACGAATCAGGTAAAAGGTTTTTAAGGTCAGACATTGTAGGGAATGGAAGTTGTCTATTCAGAGCAATAAGTTTATTCTTGTACGGGAATCAAGATCAACATCAACAGATCAGGATGATCTACATCCATGACAACTGGTCTGCTCTCAAAATATATGTAGTAGAAAATGGTGAGCGCTCCAAAGATGCTCAAACCTACTGCCAGTATATGTCACAAAACAGCAGCTAGAAATACACGCTATAAGTGAAAATTACTACCCAAATATCTACGTATACTTAAGACAAGAAAAAACACACCAAAAGAAGATAACAATACACGAAAATCCAATAAAGTTTGAAAAACCCAGCAACAAAATAGTATATCTTCTTTTAACAGGCAACCCAGAAAATGGACACTTTGAACGTCATTAAAGAAAACATTACACCAGAGAACATCATTGAAGAAAAACCTACAACTAAGGTAAGAAAACCAGATGAAACTAGACCTGCTAAATGTTTTTCGCAAATCGAAAATGCAAAGCAGGATGTGTTCGACAACGTATGGCATGGACAGACGAGATGAACAAAACTGTCATGCGCTGTTATTACTCAGCAACTTAACTTGAAATTATCAAAGTAGGATACGGCTTAGAACTTCATAAACTTTTAGTTAAGCAATACCCACATCTTAACCAGCATGTAACAGCACAACGCCTAATGGGCCAAAAACGTGTAATTATAAACAAGAGACTTACAACACATGAGCTGCAAAATATTGAAGAAGAAGTTGGAAAAATAATTAATGAAAAGCAAGTGGGAAGCCATGAACATGAAGACATCACAGTAGAATCACCACATCAAACAGAAGAATCACATGACAAAGAGTTCATTTTATTTCATTCTGCCAGTGAGAATAATACAAAACAAACCAAAATTCTCAAAAACATACAACAAAATTTGACGTGGGAAATGGAAACAAATATGACAATATGGAAATATAGTGACCCACCAAAACGTCCACCCTTACCTAGGCTTATCTTTAAACGAAACAGTCACATTCCTATAAAAATAATGAACGAACAGATCCTCAAAAATAATATAAAACTTCAATGCTGTCTAAAACACCTTCAAACGATAGTATACTCGGCAGCTCCGACCATTTTAAGGGGCAATGATCAAAAAATAACGGAACATGCTTCATATACCAAGAATAGAACATCAAAAAAAAACCAAATGGCAATTGAGAACAAAGAATACAAAATCTAAGGCAAGGCATAGGCAGAATAATACAATACCTGCAGGGAAACCGATCAAGAAATATTGTAAAACAGATTAAAGAAATAATAAAAAATAACCAACAACCAATGCCATACTTTTGCTCTCGATTAACGAATTTGATACGTCGTCAAAGTTTTGCATGGGCCAAGTTCTATAAGGATGATGTGGTTAGAGCACATTCACAGCCCTGATTATTTTTAACGACTGTCAAATGAGAGCAAAAGTACCGGCACTTAATGGATCAAAACTTACTTACAGAGGAACAGAAGGAATGTCGGAAAAACAGTCAAGGATGTAAAGAACAGCTAATTATCGATAGTGTGATAATGAAACAAGTCGAAAAACAGCGCAGAAACCTACATACGTGCTACATCGACTATAAAAAAGCATTCATCACGGTCCCACACTCTTCGCTAAGAAAAGTATAACAAATCTATAGAACACACTCAATACTCTGCAATTTTCTCTCAGTAATCATGACGAAATGGAAAACAAAAATTCATTTAAATACAGACAGCATTTGCAAACAGACCATATACCCATCAACCGCGGAATTTTCCAGAGTGACTCGCTTAGTACACTGTGGTTCTGTCTATGCCTAAATCCTCTAACGCTCTAAACTCAACATCATACGGATTCAACATAAAGCACGAAAATAAAATAAAACACAAAATAAACCACCTACTTACTCTACATGGACGATATCAAAATCTATGCTTCAACAAAAACACAAATGGCAGGTTTACTTAAAACTGTAGAAGATATAACAACAGACATCAGAATGGAATTCGGCATGAGTAAATATGTAAAATGTTAGTAATTCAGATGGGAAAATGGAAGGAGTAGATATCAGATGAAACGTTACAGAAGCAGACACTAAACGAAATGCACGAAAACGAAACTTATAAGTAGGTACTTAGGATTAGCAAAATACAAGGCTAGAAGAACACACTCTCATCAAAAAGGAATTGCTAAGGCATTACATTCCTCGTTTAAAACTGCTCCTTAAATCCAAATTGAACTCGAAAAACCTCTTCAAAGCAATAAACACATTCGCTATATCTCTTCTCACGTTTTCCTTTGGAATAATCAAATGGACAAAAACCGACATAGACAAAATCCACCAATCCACAAACAAACAACACACAATACACAGGAAATACCAGCCTAACGCCTGTAAAGAGAGAATGGTCATAAGGAGAGAAGCCGGAGGAAGAGGACTTCTAGATATTCACTTACTGCATGCAAGACAAATAACAATTCTAAGAAGCTTCTTCCATGGTAAATCAAACCCCCTACATGAAACAATATCACTAGCTGACAATGGATATACACTACTTATGGCCGGTATTATAAAACACTGAACCGATGGTTGAGTTTCAACCTTCAGTTGACTTCATGCAAATTGATAGGATTCAACCGAAGGTTGAAACTCAACCATCGGTTCAGTGTTTTATAATACCGGCCCTTAATCTATCAAAGAACTATCCTACAATATGCAAAAAAAACATATCGTGAAGAAAGAAGTGAACAGTGGGCACAGAAAACACTTCATGGGAAACACTTACATATAATGAATAAAGAAAATATTGACAGACAAAGCACATATAAATGGTTACAAAAAGGTGAACTATTTCCAGCAACTGAAGGATTGCTACTTGCTATCCAGGATCAAGTGATCGCCACAAAAAGTTACCAAAAACACATATTGAAAATAACATAGAGTCATAGATAATGATCTACGTGGAAAATGTCACCTACAACAAGAAAATGTAGAGCACATCATAGGGGGCTGTAAAATTCTAGAAGGAACGTCATATACAGAAAGAAGTAATATAACAGCAAAAATAATACACCAAGAAATTGCGCTATCACATAACATTATACAAGAGACCAAAGCATATTACCAATATACAGCTGAAAGCATTCTCGAAGATAAAAACTACAAACTGAACTACGACCTGACAATTCATACAGATAAAACAATACCGGCAAAACAAAAAACGACCTATTGTTTTTTGTTTTTCTTCAGACCCGTAAATTATACAAAGCTAACCAAAAGCTGCTTTACAGACCGTCAGATAGTGACATATTTAGGTGCCCCATTTTCGCATACAAGCCTCGAAGAGGGGTGAAGAGTACATCGATTTTTAGTAGGTTGAAGGTATTTTTACGAGTGGCTCCTGGTGCTAGCACATGGAAAATTCGATTTTACTTATGTTACCCTAAAATGTACTTTTTCATTCGAGACACTCAAGCCACTATGTTTTCTTGCTACCGAAGTTGTAGATTTTCATCTTTCCAATGTGCTTGTGCGCCCAAAATTTCTATTTTTCCGTACAAGATTCCGCCCTTATTTCAAATCTTTAGCCACCTGCAACACCCCCGTCTTTGTTTTCATGAAGCCAGGTTTTATTAATTAATCCTTTGGTGAACACTTAATATGGCGAGAAAATATGGGCACAAGGACGTCTTTCATTTCTGTTACGGAAAATCGAATTTTCCACACGTTATCCCCAGGAGCCACTCCTAAAAATACCTTCATGCTACTCGAAATCGATGTACTTTTCAACCCTCTTCGAGGCTTGTATGCGAAAATGGGGAACCTAAATATGTCACTATCTGACGGTCTATTAAGTAGAATAAAACAAAAACTCCATTGTAAATAGTTATAATAGATTTAAAAAAAAAAACAAATACTTGAAAATATATGACCAAATCTAATACATCTTCTTCTTCTTCTTTTGTAGTTTCCTCATTTTTTTAATTTCCTCTGCCTTTTTCTTTTGCACCCTATCATTGTACAATTTATATCCGATAATTCCTAGAAAAAAAATCAAATTTACATCAACTGAAACATCAAGAATAAACACAAAATGTCTTGCATATGGTATTCTATCAATATAGTACCCTATCTTAGTACTCACCTGATAAAATAATAATGACAATGAACAATTCGAAGAGTGTCACAAACTTCAACCAAGGGGGTTGTCCTCCAAGACCGCCTAAACCTCTCGAGCCACCTTGGGATAAACCTTTCACTGACTCAGCCTCGTCTTTTTCAGTCGGACCTGGCTTATCATTGAGTGTCTTGAAAAGTTCCTCAATTGCAGCAGGTGGATCTCCATATGAACCACTTGCTCTTTCATTTGCCACAACGTCTTTAAGCCTTTGCAACAAATCAGGCATAATTAATGATTAATTTAAATCTGACAAAGTTGTTTATTCAAACAAACATTTATGAATGAATAATACCGGTGTGCTGTCACCAGTAATTAAAAATTGTTTACTGATAAGGTTTAACGATAGTAATAACACGAGCTAAATTCGAACGGTCTAGTCCAGTGAATATGTATATGGGTTTTTCAAGACAATTTACGAGGGCAGGTTTATTTTTTCAAAGCCAAAAACTGAAAAACTCACACCCGAAAGTCTTGTGCAGTCGGCCCTATTGTCCTTTTTCTTATTTATTTTTTTTTCGACAAAATGACCTCCATAAAAGTTGTAGATAATTACATCATCAACTTTGCCCTATGTCTTTTTTTGCTAGCTATTTTAGTTTAGGCGCTGCGACCATTTTATTGCTACAGAAATCGGAGAAAATTAAATAGCAAACCTGCAGATTATTGTACAGGATCTGTTCCTTATAATTAGTACGGCTTTCACAACTCAAACAAAAATAAAATAAAAATTATGAGTAGGGTTTTACCTCTTTTATCTTTTGCACATGTCAAAAGGGGCAAATGATTGGTGCCAACTGTCATAATGACAAACACTTGCATTTTTTAAATGAAACAGCCTGTATATTTTTGGCTAAAATTATTGTTGTTTTTTTATTCCAAATGTAGGTACCATATTATACATATGTTGATATTTGGTTCAGCTGCTTCTACGCAATCTATATTTGAATATGCATTCAACTTAAATTAGGTCTGTTTCCTGTTCCTTATATCAATGGTGAGGCTTACTTGATGCAATTTTAAACTTAAATAGCGTAATAAAAGCCGAACCAATATGGTTTCAATTATTCTTCTAGCCAAAAATATACAGGGTGTTCCATTCATTCATTTAAAAAATGCAGGTGTTTGTCATTATGAAACTTGGCACCTGTCATTTGTCAGTTTTGACAATTTGACATGTGCAAAAGATAATAGAGGTAAAACCCTACAACTTCAGTATTTAACTTTTTTTTTGTTTAACTTTTTTTTTATTTCTTTTCTTTGTCAATACTCAGGACACAGTCAGTCTCCAATCAGCTCTGGAAAAATCAGCCTGCTTTCGTTAAACTTTTTGAAAACCCCATATATTCACTGGACTAGTTGCAAAATAGCGTGGAGGCACGTTTTACTGTTTATTTGTTTCTTTAGAAACTTGATCTCTTATCGGTCGGCCTTCAATTAACTCCGAGATTATTATTGAATAATTAAATGTTCAATAGGTACCTATTGTTTTTGCAAGTAGATTGATGATTGAAAATTGTAATAAAAATGGGCATTAAATAAAAAAATGTTGTTTTCAGTTTTATTTAAATCTTCCAGTAAAGTATACAGAGTGTCAATCAAATCAATCAATCAAATTCATAAAACCAGAAACAAAAAGTTGCAATGAACATGATAGCATGGGTCTGGAAATGCATAATAAAGGACCTATGGGCCTTATAGGCTAGATTTAAAAAGTAGCTTTTTTTTCAAATCTCCAGAGTCTCAGCCTTACATAAAAAACGGAAATGTTACGAAAATAACCATTCTGTATACATTTTACCTCTTTTATCAGCTTCTGATATCAAAAATATGGGTGTTTAAATGAAAGTGGAGTTTTTGAATGTGTTGGGGAAGTTTCCCACTGCTGATCACTACTTACTTCTATTTAAAAACATAAAAATTATTTATGGAAAATTTAGACTGATAAATTAGTTAGTTCAATGATTATTAGAAAATCAATACTTGAAGTTGGTGTTCCTTATTAGAAACCAATGATTGAACCCAAAGAGGGTTTTAGGTAGAAGGTATAGATTTTGCTCCTTACAAACAAATTAAACTCCTATATTCCCTTATACGTACATTCAAAATGAAAACATTTAGGACTTATAAAAATATAAGCAAATAGACATAAGTTTTACAAGAACCAAACAAGAACTATTTTTCATATCTAAACTAAATGGCTCTGAAAGCAAGCTATGCACATAGGCAGATTGCATGTCACAGATATAGTATTAACTGTTTTGGCATTTTTGTGGGCATATGCAGCATTGTGGGCTATTGACATGGTATTTATAGCATTTGGTGCTTCATTTTCGGATAACTCTTTTTTGACCTTCTACTTCTCTCAAAACGCAACGTTTTTTTGTACCTGCTGTCGAGTTAGAAGGACGAGAAGTATCTGGGGCCTCTTGGGTTTCAATAAGACCCAAAACTACTGCTTGAGTGATAAATGACACGCGGTCCTAGAATGTAAAAACACATCCTGGGACCCCGTGATTACCGGTAGGTCACAACAACAAAAAAAGGTGTTGGGTCAACGAATCGTCTAAAATATATTTATATTATTATTAACCAAGGACAAACATAACATATATAAATTTGGTATCTGGATAACATATTGCAGTGCTCACGGGAGGGCACGTAAGGCTTACCGGCACAGCCGCATCATCCAGGCCAAAAAACTACAGATGAAAAAAAAAAGCCTAAAGCACATGCTCACATTTATAACAACAGGTGAACACACATCACAAATTTTACAAGTCAAAAATGAAAGAACGAAATACAATTTTCAATATTATTGAGAGTTGTCAATAAACATAACTGAAGGTGAACGCGAAGGCACAGTCCCATCCCATTATGTCAAAAACATCATCCACATATCTATGATAAACTAAACTCGGGTGTCCCACCGGGAACCAAATCGATCTATATTTGAAAAACTGTATGTAGAAAATTTTTGAAAATTTGACAGGATACTAATGACAATGGGGGCAACTCGGCTAAAATATTTTCAAAATGGTGGCACTTCCGGTTATACCGGAAGTAGACGTCAACTTGCTTATTTTAAATGAGACACCCTGTGTGTATTTGAATTTTACGTAAAATTCTGAGCGGATTTCATGTCATATACCCTATACTTAAGTTCAATTGGTTTGGAAATGTTGACAGTTGAAAATTGACTTTCTGCAATTTTGACAGGCTGTAAATTTTAGAGGAAAACCGATTTTACATTCCTATCTTAGATTTTCATAAACTATCATTTGACACCAACTTTGAATTTAACCGGAGATTAAATTTAATTGGAATTTTCAATCATGGATTAAATTCAAAGTTGGTGTCAAATGATAGTTTATAAAAATCTAAGATAGGAATGAAAAATGGGTTTTCCTCTTAAACTAACCGTTTAGGTTTTACCGTCTGTCAAAGTTTCAAAAAGTCAATTTTCAACTGTCAATATTTCCAAAACAGTCGAACTAGGGTATATCAGATGAAAGCTGCTTAGAATTTTATGTAGAATCCAAATATGCAATATGCAATCACATACAGGGTGTCTCATTCAAAATAAGCAAGTTGACGTTTACTTCCGGTATAACCGGAAGAGCCAGCATCTTGAAAATATTTTACCCGCGGGTTGCCCCCATTGTCATTAGTATACTGTCAAATTTTAAAAAAAAATCTGCATACAGTATATCATTAATAGATCGATTTGGTTCCTGGTGAGACATCCTGTATAAAACAAGTGTCAGTGACTCATATAATGCCGCACACAATCTAATATATAAAAATCAATGTTTGTTTGTTTGTTATTTATGGACTCGGAAACCGCTGAACCGATCTCCTTGAAATTTATACCACGTACTTGGTTGTCATTATGTATGGAAATGGTTTTATATTTCAGAACCTGCTTGAGAAAAATGTACCATATTTTCTACCTGAGGGTTTTTAGGAATGCCCGATTCAATGGTGGTAATTACAATGTTGCCCAGTTTACCGTTTCTAAGATGCCCTATGTAACTTGATTTTTTTGAATGAAAGTCCCTCTCTATTTTTATTGTAATTAGTTCAGCGTCCCAACATTACTAAAATCCCTAAATGCCAAACCTCCAATTGACTTGATATTAAAATATGTCAACACAGCTTTTTTGTTGAAATATGTCGAAACGGTCTCATTTCAGAGCAGGCTTTAGGAAAATGTGATAATGCGTATTCAAGATTTATAAGGGGACTGGAAAGCCCACGTAGAAGATATTGTACATATTCCTAGAGCCTGTTCTGAAATACAAGACCGTTTCCATACATTTCAACAAGAAAGCTGTATTGTCATATTCCAAAAACCAAGTCAAATGGAGGTTTGGCATTTAGGGGTTTCAGTAATGTTGGGACGCTGGCGCTGCACAATGTTGCGTCTCATAGGGGAATTGGGACAAAATTCATATCTTGAATACAAAGTTGAATCAATTAATGCGAATGTTTTTATTTATGCATTAACATTTTAGTGGACAACCCAAATGTAGAATATTTGAACAAAAGAAAATAATTCCTATTGTACAGGGTGAAACACAAAAAAAAAATTATAATGTTTAATTAAAAAACCTTAGGTGAATTTATTTTTCAAAAAAAAATAATATTCTTGTAGATAAATAAATTATAAAGATGATACATTTGTCATTAAAAATGTTAAAATTTTCAAAAATACGAAAATTAAGATCTAATAACTAGACGAGGATGTTTGCGCGTCATGACGTTATTTCCAGCGTCCCACTTGTTGCTGCACTCCCAGATTTTTTTTTTTATGTTAGCAGAACAAGCTTTAAGTAAACTTGAATTGTTTCCATTACCATTTAAGGTTTTTGATTCTTGCCGCAAGTTACCCATTGTTGGTATAAAATACTATTAGGAATAGCAACGATTTTTTCTGAAAAAAAAAAAAAAACGCAAAAATCCGCAAAAAATAATAACTGTCATTTTAAAGTAGAGGGTTTGCAGAGTTCAAATTCAAAAATTTATAGGACTATAATTTTATATATTTTTTAAATCCTTAGTTGAAATTTAATAAAAATATTTTAGATATTTTAATTAATTATCTGCAAAAGGCAAATAGTGTAACTGAGTACTTACCCTCTATAATGTTGTCCTATAACCCTCCTAATGTATTAAAAAAATAATTACCTCAAAACAATATTGCGGCCTTTTCAAAATTTAATTTTATAATAACCTTCCAACAGATGCACAAAATTCTTTTTAGTTTTGTTTATCTCTGTTTTTTGGGAACTCGTGAACAAAAAAAGTTAACAATAATATACTTGTCATCACCAGACATTTCTTCACAGATAGCCATATTTAATTATCCAAAAATAAATTCAAACATTTTTGAATTTTGTCCATTGAATGCAACACTGTGCGCTGAATTGATTACAATAAAAAAAGAGGGTCTCTCATTCAAAAAAATTAGGTTACATACGGCATCTTAGAAACGGTAAACTTGGCAACATTTCAAATACCCACCATTGAATCGGGAATTCTCAAAAACCCTCAGTTAGGAAATGTACATTTTTCTTGAGCGCGTTCTGAACTATTAGGCCGTTTCCATACATAACGACAACCAATGACATCAAAACACAGATAGACCGAACAATAAACAAAATTTTCGTATGACAACATCTCTCTGTCTCTTTTGGGTCTTTGTGCTATCCCCACCACTGAGAATGCCAAATTTTGTCTTGAATCCCTAAATAATATATTTTTCTCCTCTAATTAACATTTTCAATTTTATTTCTGAACTCAATTTGGCAACAGCAGATTATAGCAAAACACCGCCCAGAAGCGGCTTGTTGAATGGCAAGCAGGTGTTGATTGTAGTAGCTAGCTATCTTTATTGCAAACAGGGATTATTCATTAGCGTTAAACAAGAAACGACTAACACGATATTGGTACTCCCAGAATAAAGGGCTCGTATCGAATATTTTCAGTTTATTTGTCAATTTGTTATTTTATTTATTCATCCAATTAAATTTCGAGATATATTCACGTGTGGGCGGGGTTTTTTTACACCATTTTGAGCAATGATGTCTCCCTACCCCGACCCCGCGAGCAACTCACCTCCCCTGGCCTATGGGTGGTCTTGTCAACACAACAAATAATAGTTTATGAATGGGATGATCCGTCTATCTGTGTTTTGATGTCATTGACGACAACCCTGTATAAAGCGGAGTGTTCTAGGCTACTTTTTATCCCGGAAAAATTCACAATTCTTGTGGGATAGAAGATGAAGCATAAAGCTTGGGTTAGTTTAAAACAATTGTTTTTGGGGAGCCGTGGCAACGCACATAGGGTACCTATTGATCGATTAGAGGTCTGTTCCCACAGGAGTCTCTGACAGTTTGCAACCTGTCAGAAACAATCGCTCAACTGAGTTACAGATTTATCTTGTAACAAGAGCATTGAAAACATATATGGGCGATGCTTACTGACAGTTTGCAAACTGTCAGAGACTCCTGTGGGAACAGACCTTAAATATACACGCCACTAGAATCAGTTCCCCTGACCTCTCACAACCAGCGCTGTGCTCTATATGTGAGGAATGAGTTACTGACATTTATTTTGGACTTAGAGTATATGTAGCTATATAAGAACGCCTCCACCCTCCACCTCTACCTCGTACGATATCACCTAAAATCCATCAATGTTAACAATCCACCGTGTTAATGTGCCTTGTCTCTGAAATTGGCAAAAATATCGTTTTTACTGAGAAATGTACAATCCCTAACAATAATCATTTCCATCTCAATAGATGGTACTTTTAGGGGGCCTATGTTTAGATTATTATATTTATTTCGGGGCCATTGAACCTATTATTGTTCAAAATGTTTGTCATACTTTGTACTTTTTCCCATTTCTGTAAAAAAACTCGTCCAATAAAGCATGATTGAAATTGAAGTGGAGAAGAACTACAAAACGGCCCTTACGCCAATATGCAATAATACTTGACAAATAACAAAGTAGTCACATTGTTAGTTTAATTTTATATTAGGTATTGATCATTTTTAATACTCCCTATGTCCCAGCACGCTGTGTGTACCTATGATATAATTTAAATAAATGTCCTCTTCAACGTTTAAATTTGGTTGCAGGTAGCTCTAATACTACCCAATCATATAGCCCTAGTGCTGGCTCTGCTCCAATCACTGTGACGGCTCAATCAAAAAAGAGTTTTGCTCGTCCAAAGGGATCTGAACCAGGCTCTCCTCTACTGAGGCGAGCCCTTTCGCCAGATCGCCTACATCCAAGGAGCGCTGAAACCAAATGCTCTATATCACCTTTGTGCTCATCTGGTATGGTAGCTCCTGCGGTAAAGGCTCAAAATAGAACTGGAAATTCTTCAGTTTGGAGGCCCATTGCTTCTGTTGACAAAGAGAAGGAAGGGGAATTGGAATTGCCTCAACCTACAGACAGTGGTAGGTTTTAAAAAGAAATTGAAAAAAAAAATTAAATACCAAAAGTCCATATCTATAATGCATCATCATACATCTGGTTCAAAATAGTCCCAAGCTGATAATGGAACATATCTAGTATGTAAAATAACATCTAAGTGCTGAGAGTTCTTAGTACATATAATTTTAGTGATTGGTTAGCTAGTTACCATTATTGAAAAACGTTGTCAGCTGTCTTTTTATTTATAAAATGAAGTGTACATTTTCTCAAAAAACTATTAATTAGCTAGCTTACCAGTCACTTACAAGACAATAAAAATATTTTGGATGCCTGTGCTTTTGCTGTCGGTTAACAAAATGCTTTTGTTTTTATCAAACATTCTTTAATATTCAGCTAACTGCTAACATGAAATATTAAATACTTTATATGTCTATGCTTTTACCGTCAGTTAACAAAATGCTTTTGTTTTCAATAAACAGTCTTTATTAGGCTAGCTGCTAGCTAACCACTAACATAAAATAATACTTAAATACTATATATATTTATAAATAATATAAAGTGCAGAAAGGTTTTTCCAGGTACCAACCAACGTGAAGTCAAGGACATCACATTCTGTGTTTGGGCCTAGCAATACTGAACTTTGAACAAGGACCTAATAAGAATATGTTCTTCTGATGAGTTCAAATAACGACGAAACACGTAAAGGACTGGCTAGGGAATCTTGCATGCGCAGATCAGCAAATAAATTCTCAAACAAGGACTGTGGTGTCGTTTACTTCACGATGGTTAAAGACCCCGAAAAAAAAAAACCTTTTTACAACTTACATTACTGGAGGAAATTTAGAGTAGCTAGTGTTATTCGATGCCGGTAGGGGTATTTGCCATCAGAGTGGCTGTTTCTAGCTCGGCGAAGAAGTTCAATATTGTTTGAACGACGACTGCAGATTAGCGGTAAATTCCCAAACAAGAACTGTGATGTCCTCGACTTCACATTGGTTAATACCTGAAAAAACCTTTCTACAATTTACATTGTCAACCAAAATTTAGACCAGTTACTGTAAATCAATTTCGGCGGGGGTATTTACCCAGGGAGTAGTTGTGAGTCCGAAATATAATTTCAATTGGACTCATCATTATAGGCGATCACTCGATACCGAGTATGATTATCTTCTATTATATTCTCATTGTCGTCGTTTGTGCGTTTTCTAATGGCTATATAAACCAATTTTAGAGCCACACACTCTTTCACAGTCTTGGCACACCCAGTCTCTCCCTCTATTCTCTCGCTCCTTCCTGCGGTCCCTCTTTTTGGTATCGAGTCTGCGTCGCTGTTCTGCAAAAGTTTGTGGTCCGTCGTGGACTAGTCGGCGCCATGAGGGCAAGTAATCTAGGTTGTGAGGTGGTTGCGACGAAAAATAATTTAAATTGAGGGAAATAAGACTTAACACGGTTCAGATACAGTTCTTCATTCCATCCTTCACCAGCCCCAAATAATAAACTAAAGTATGAGAAAGAATCAGACATACTTCAGTAGTTACCCTCAAAGAGCAGATAGATAAGAAAGTTATCCATATTGGTAAACAGGAATTTTCAAATAACATTCCACAACTTGCATAGAGCTGCAGGAAAAATACAGATCTTGACTATGTATTATCCGGAAGCTGTCTATTTGACATAAATTTGATGCACTGAGGAAGAAATTATAGTCTTGAAAGCAGGTTGATATTTATTGGCAGTTCAGAGCTGTAGCATGAGTGGTGGATTGGCAGTTTTTATAGAGAAAGAATGGCGTATAAAGATATATCAATATCAAATGAACTTATGCTTTTACCTTGGTAGTAACTAGTAAATATGCTTGTATAGGCGCATTCATTTTCGTGCATCTTTATAGCTTGTTATTAGAGGGCTATCTTAACCAATGTAGGTAAGTTTGAACGCGATTGTGATGAATGTTTTCTGATTTATCAAACAAACAAAAAAGTTACATTATGGTACATTTCAACATAAACTTCGATCCTGAGATAAGAAATAAAGATGCATATGAAATCATGGGAATCCTTAGCAGTTATGGCTTCATCGCTCTTGTAAAGGGATTTAGCAGAATAAATGGTGATAATGGTTCACTCATTGATAATTTTTTACTAACTTTAGTGAACAATTGACAGGAACAAGGAATGTAGAAACAGGACACTTGGACCATGTTATTCAGATGGTAAGCTTTACTTTTAAATACCTTTGAGATAATTCCGAAATAAATAATCCTCACATAAGAAACTTTCAGGAGAAAGCTAAGTTTTGGAACCTTATTGAGCGCAAACAATGTAACGACGTGCCTGGTGGTTGGGATGCTAATGAGAAATTTGAAATGATTCTAAATATATTCTGAAACCACAGGATCCTGCCCTAGTGCGTCAGGTTCCATTTCTTGTATACCAGCCAAGTTAGAAATTTTGATAATGTGCATGCCTGTACGGGAAAATATTTCTGTATATTATTATACAGAGGTGACCCCAATAAAATGACTTTTCCAAAATGGAACTCCCTGTATTTTCTGCATCTTCAAGTGCCTTGTTGTCCTTCATAAATGTATAATATTCAATTCCATTTGCGTAGTTTAGAGGCAATACACCGAAAAAAAAAAAACTCATAAAACAGTCAAGGGGCGATTTTATAACCATAGCAAGGTGCGAAACTTATTGCAAAGGATACTTCGAAACTTATTGCAAAAGATGCTTCGAAATAACTAATTAAATAAAAATAACTATACAAAGTGTCCTTAATTACCTATTTTTTAAAAGTGATACATTTCAATCCAATTTTTCTGACGTTTCTCCAATTGAACACCTTGTATATTATTTTACTTTCTGATGCAGAATTTAGGTACATGTTTGTCATAACTTCTGGATTGAAATTCTGAATTGTTCTCATGATATTTACCAAAACCCAGAAATAAAAGAAATGTTTATAAACAAAATAAGCTCACTGGGCGGCCATGGAAACGTGATTCCATTAGCTAGGCAAGCCCAATGACCACAATACTAGACGCAAAGCCCCAGCACGCACCAGATATCATACAAATACTTTATTGTATTGAGGGGATGTTAGCGGGCGGGTTATGGTGGAGTTGACTCGATTTGTCGAAGTCCCGCATCATCTAGCACATGATTGGATGATACAAATAGTAAAATAATTAAATGCCCAATCACACACCATATACAGGGTGTCCCAAAAAGATACCGACAAACTTTAAAGGGTAGTAAGGGACATCAAAACAAGCATTTTTGTTTATATAAACATATGTCCGCAAATGAGCCATTTGGGCTGTAGAGCAAAAAAACTGTTTGATATCTAGTTTTATTTTTCGCAATAATTATATCGTTGTTTACTTATTAATTTTGCTTTAGTAGCAAATAAATTATGGTTTACAATAATTGTTCAACTCGCGAACTCTTTGGAATATTCCGGGAATAGCTTCTACATGGGTACAACTCGCCAGTATCCTTGCTATCAGATCTTCCTCATTACGAACAGGTGTTTCATAAACTAAACTTTTCAGTCAATGACCCGACGGTGTAATCTTTGCATTGAAGTAAATGGTCTACATTTTGAACAATTATTGTAAACCATAATTTATTTCATAATAAAGCAAAATTAATAAGTAAACAGTGATTTAAATATTGCGAAGAATAAAAGTATCAGAACAGTTTTTTTGCTCTACAGCCCAAATGGCTCATTTGCGGACATTATGTTTATATAAACAAAAATGCTTGTTTTGATGCCCCCTACTACCCCTTAAAGTTTGTCGGTATCTTTTTGGGACACCCTGTATAGTCAGTTTTGAATTGTACAAATATCATATCCCGTGTGCAACTTAGTGAAGCAATATCATGCGATACCTTAAAATTTTCAGGAAAATGTGTAGATAACAAATTTTAGTGGGGCGTATCTCGCAATGGCGGCAGAAGGGTGAGAACCAGTGAACCACCCTTATGCAGTAGGGTAGTACTGCGCATATTATGCAAAAACATATTTCCTTAATTATAATTGGATTTTATAGTATTCACCACTTTTGTTTCAGGTAACGTCGATGAGATCTTTGAAAATATTACGAAACCATCCCCTGATCGGGGGATGATTTCATAACACAGCTTCTTAGGCATCAGTGAATTAACTGTTACAACAATACTCAAGCAACATGCAAATATTGTAATGTGATAATATTATGAAATTATGGCCGCCCAGTATCCGTATTATTTACCATTTTTGTTTAGGCAAAAGTGTTATTTTTGAAGTGACACTTCTTGCGGATCCGCAAAAAAGTTGGCGTTTTCCCGCCAACGGAATTATTTCAAAAATTCCGCACCCGCAATCCGGAATTCCGCATCATGAGAACTAAGCTTCAGGCGGTGGCTTGATATTTGGACGAGAATGGAGAGTGATTTGGAAGATGCGTTACGTTGAGGCCCATTTCGTTCGAGCTTTATCTAAAACACAATACACGTATACACTCAATACAAAGCGATATAAGTTTCAGTTCTACCAAGAGTACAGCGCTGCACATGATTTTTTGTGTTTCAGAGTACGTCAAAATAGTTAAAAATTGAAGTTATTAAGAAAATAAGTGTTAAAAAACCTTAGTAGTGATAAGTGCTTGTGTACTCTAAAGACTTATAAAAAATTCGTGAAAGCTCCAGCGCAGATTGCTTATGACACCCTTGCTGAAACTCTGGTGAAAATCAACAAATGGGATCCGAAACAGGAACAAGATTTCCCGATTTTTGCTTTAACAGCAGACCAGTTTACATCGGATAAAATAAAAGACATGAAAGTGAAATGGCACCTTGAATGTTACAAAAAAATTAAAAAAAAAAAAGATTATTTTGGACGAATGGAGAAAAAGTATAATGCCCAGCAATTGGAAGCTTCAACTAAGTTTCTCGGGTGCCGATATCACAGGAAGTTTCAAACGAAAAGGTAAAATTAGTTTTTGGAAGCAACCCCATTCATGCTTCAGGCGTTGGAA